TTTTCATTTCCCTAAAAAGCCCATTTTTATCGATTTTTCCGAAAAAAAAAGTCCTTTCCCCATTTCTCAGTCCTCAAATTTCCCAAAAATCATAAGGACAATGATTCGGAAATCTGAGAAAAAGCCGATTTTCGTCATTTTTCCCATTCAAAAACATCTACTTTTAGCTCAACAGCACGTTTTTTCGATTCGAATCAAATACGTCTTCATCCTCTTGCCATAATGTTGAAACTACATGAACTTTTTGTTCATTGACACGTTTTTTTGGATCAAAATGGTTGAATTTAGGATTTCTTAGCGATTTCGAGGGATTTTCACGCATTTTTCGAATGTTTATGTTCAGTTATTGAAAGGTATTTAATTGGCAAAAAAAAAGTTTGGCGCCGAGCGGACTCGAACCTGGGAGTGTTTTTGTGTTGATAAGGATGCCTAATTTGAGTGAAAAGTTGATTTTTTTTTCCCACGTTTTTAGCAACTTTTCAAAAGTAAATTTTTACTTTACAGTTAATTGCACATTTTTCCGACTTTCAAGAAGATTCCCGAACCAAAATATCTATTTACCACGCCCAAAATTTCGACTTCATTCACAGCCTGTCCTTATCAATGTTTGTCCGCCTGACGCCCGAGCATTTCCGAATTTCCTGTCTGTTTCCAATCAATCCGACCTTCGTTTCATCAGTTTTGAAGTTTAGAATCATCAAAAAGTAGGTAGATTTAACGGCAAAAAAAGTTTTGCCGCCTCCCGGGATCGAACCTGCAAGTGTTTTAGTGATGATGTAGGAGCTTGCCGGTTGAGCCATTTTGTATATTTTTGGACCTGTTGAGCTTTCAGGCCTTTAGGAGACTAATTGAAGGTTTTTCAAGGGAAAATTAGCACTTTCTTCTTTTTTGTTGTAATTTGAACGCCTTTCTAACAGGACTGATGATTTTCGATGAAAATGCCTCCTAAAGTGACCACTTCAATTGATTAGACCCTATAAACCCGATAGACCGACATAAATCTCAGTCTTAGAAATACGCTAGCTTTTATAAAATCCATGAAACTGTGAAGTTGTATCATAAAAAATTTTTGGATTGGAAGTTCTCAAAAAATCCCTAGAGGGGCTACTTGCTATGTTTCATTCCTTGAGTGGTCACTTTAGCTTAAAATGAACGAATAGTCGAAAAGGGCCCATTTAAGAGATTTTCTTCGAAGATACTTGTAGGTTTTGCGACTGAATAATTTCCGGGATGTGAGTTTGAAGTGGTTTTTTTTGTGAGTGGCCACTTAAGGGACCATTTAGAAAAATTCAAGTTAGAGTTCAAGATATAAATGAGATCTTCTGTTAAAACGACCAATTTTAAGTTAACCCTTAAGGGATTTGAATTGGTAGATTATTGGAGAGGCCGATTTGAAGGGCACACTTAAGGGACTTGAATTTTTGATTTCAAAATTGCTCCTTTACGTCTTATAGTTGTACATGAATATTTTTTAACGCTAAATTAGATTTTTTCTTTTTTCTAATGATTCTGATGGCTCTCCCCGACCAAAAATCAAGACATTCCATTTTTTTCAAACGAGAAACTTTCTGAAAATAGGCCGTTTTGAAGTGGACACTTAAGGGACTCGAAATTTGAACTTTTGATTTCAAAATCGCTCATTCATGTCTCATAGTTGTACATAAATATTTTTTTGAAGCTAAATTTGATTTTTTCTTTTTTCCAATGATTCTAACGACTTTCCCCGACCAAAAATCAAGACATTCCATTTTTTTTCGAACGAGAAACCTTCTGAAAATAGCCCTGATTTCTGTCCATCTTTATCAGCTTATCTGTCCCAAACCTTGCCTCGAAGTCTGATTAGACAACGCCTGCCTGCAAAAACTTAGCATATTTTCAACGCGTCTCCGAAAATTCGGGACATTTCTTGGACATTTTCGGGCGCTCGATGACGTCATTCGAACCTTTTCCCGCCATGATGATCGCTTATTGAGGCCCCAATATTGTTGGTTGATCGGCCACGCCCACTTTTTTTCTCGATCTTAAGTTTTGAAATTGTGTTTTGGTTGGCATTATAATTGACAGCTTTTGATTTTTTCAATCCGAGTTTTCTGATTGGCTGGCCACGCCCACTTTTTCTGGCGCCAATTTGAAAAATTTGTGACTTTTTTTCATTTATTAGTTTTTGAAGAACTTTTTTTCTTAGTGAATTTTTAATTATTTTGAAAAAAATTTTTTTGCGTTTTTTTCTCATTGGCTAGCCACGCCCACTTTTTTTGGAGGCAATTTAAAAATTTTGAAAAACTTCTTTTTCCTTTTTTTTTTTGGTCAATTACAGATCATATAGAAAGGCTTCCGAATTAATTTGTCCCAGATTTCAAGGCCTTCTATTGGCTAGCCACGCCCACTTTTTTTGGCGCCAATTTGAAAAAAAAATAATTTTTTCCCGTTTTTTTTCGATTATTTTTTCTTTTTAATATTCAAATTTCGAGCCGGAAACGGAATAAACTATAAATAAGCGTTGAGTTTTGGAGTTTGATGGCGAAAAAAGTTGATAAGAAATCGTGACACACGGCACGCTATCAAAAGTACAGCCCCAAGCCTAAATGTCAGCACCGGAGCATTAATGATATCACTGTTTCAAGTTGCAGTTTTTGACTCGTTTCAAGCTTGGCTTTGTTGATATACTTCGTTTGTATAAATAAGAAATTAGAAAGAATTTTTGAATTTTTGCGACTTGTTAAATGTGAAGTGATCACTTAAATGGTTGCTTAAGAGTTCATCTGAATTTTCTGATTTTTTTTTTCTCTTTTAAAAGCTTTTGGTATCACCTAGCTTCGTTTAAAAAAAGAAAGGTCTATGGCGCAGTGGATAAATAGCTTCAATGCCACGAAAAGGGTCATAGGTTCGACTCCTGTCGGGGTCTTTTTTGATTTTTATTGAGCTTTTTTGAAAGTTTCGTCTTTTCCATTTTCCTATGGAGTGTCTAATGTGTCTGAGTACGTTAAAGAGCGAAAATCAGCCATGGAACAGTGGATAAATAGCTATAATATCATGAAAAGGGTCATAGGTTCGATTCCTGCCAGGGTCTTTTTTGATTTTCATTGATATTTTCCGGAATTTCTGCTTTTTTTCACTTTTTTTTTGAAGTTTCGAGCGTTTCTCAGCCCATTAAAGGGCAAAAATAATCCATGGAGCAGTGGATAAATGTCTGAAACGGCATGAAAAGGATCATAGGTTCGACTCCTGCCAGTGCTTTTTTTTATTGTCTATTTTTTGGAAATTTTTGGCTTCTCCGTTCCCCATGGAGTGACTGATGTATCTGAGTAGGTTAAGGAGCACAAATTCTTCATAGAGCAGTGGATAAATGGCTGAAATGCCACGCAAAGGGTCATCGGTTCGACTCCTGTCGGAGTCTTTTTTGATTTTTATTGAGTTTTTTTGAAAGTTGCGTTTTTTCCAATTTCCTATGGAGTGTCTAATGTGTCTGAGTAGGTTAAGGAGCGAAAATAATCTATGGAGCAGTGGATAAATGGCTAAAACGCCACGAGAACGGTCTTAGGTTCGACTCCTGTTGGGGTCTTTTTTGAATTTATTGAGCTGTTTTGAAGTTTTCGCTCTTTCTTAGTTTCTTAGAAGTTTTATAGCGTATTTCAGTACCTTGAAGAACTGAAATGACCTCTGAGGCAGTGGATAAAAGACTAAATTACCAACAAAAAGATCAGTGGTTCGACTCCGTGCCACACTTTCAATTTTTGCCATTCTTTCCTCCAAAATTTCAAAGATCGGATTACCCAGAACCGTAGGATCAACGCGTAGAATTCCAGCAGCGTAATGAACGGAGAAGAAAAAAAGAAAAAGATGAATGAAAAGGGACCTAATCCCACAAAAGCTCGTATCCGCAGCCTTCTCGTTTCCCGGTTGGAAAAACAACATTTTCCCTTCCTCAATTTATTGTTTTCTTGGCGCGAAAAATGGGCTACCGTAACCCTCTGTGAGATGCACCAAAATTTGTAGTGACGTGGAAGGGAAAAAGAATTTTTTGTTGATCAATTTTTAAGCTTTTTTTTTCCGATTTTTCTTTTACCATGATGCAAAATTTATTTTCCACGTATACAGCTGTATGATCTGATTTGAACAGAATAAAAGTATAAATTTCAAAGAAAAAAAAATTTTTTTGACGATTTTTTTGATTTTTTTCCTTTCCCCAACTGTTCGAGTTCATTGCAGCTAAAATGATCCTTTCATTTATTTTTTTCCGAATTTTATTACGGTACCGTATCCTCTTGCGACATTTCCGTTAGAAAACCAAAATTTTTTTCTATCAAGAAAAAAAAATTTTTTTCAGGTTCAATATTTGAACTGTTTTTAAGTGTATTTTAGCTACAGTAAGGCAATTTTTGAAACCTAATTTTTTTCCCCAAAATTTCTCGAAAAAAATTATACAAACTAATCCTCATTATGCAGCGAAATTCGCCGCTCATTAGGATTAAAAGCCACGCCCACTTTTTTTGCCACTTGACTCCGCCCAAAATTCGTCTCAAGGCGCTTACTTTCCGCTTCTTTCAAGCTCAGAAAATTCAATTTTTCCATTTTCCGTTGATAAATGAGGTCTCGGTTTCAAGAAAGAGGTTTAGAAAAGTTTGAAAATTTTTTTTTCGATATTGTTATGCTTTGGATAGGTCAGTGAAACTGTTTCAGCGCGTTAAAAATAAGTTTTTCAATCTGGATTTTCTGAACTTTTCGGTGATCCCGACCGGAAACGACTTGCGCGCAATGGCATTTAAAAGCATCAGAGCCAGTTTCCTATGTGAAGCAGGCTTTCAAACCGCCGAGAGCCATTCCAAATGCGGCCGATCCGATCTTCTAGAAACTTTGGTTTTTTAGAAAAAAAAAAATTCACGTTTTTAGTGAATGAAACGTTCGGAGAAAAATGATACGTGAATCTTTTCTCAAAACTCATTTTAGTTGAGTTTACTTTTTCAGACGGTTTATATTTTAGTGTTTAAATTTTCTCTACGATGATGTATGTCAGTGAATGGCAAGTCTTTCTGTTGAATTTTGAATTTTTTTCTTCTATTTATGGACTTATTTCCCTGAAAAATCAGTTTTGATCATTTTATCCGTGGAGCGCACTTGCTAGTTTTTTTTCCTAGGCTCTTTTGTCCTCTTTTGCATGGGAAATTTCTGGGAACCTTATAAGTTTTAAAAGTCGGAAATAAGGCATTTTGAGTGATTTTATGCCATCGAATTTCTGAAATTTTTTTTCATAGATTGCATTTTTTTTCTCTTTCAGCTTTCGTCATAACCCAACCAGAACCATTTATTGCTTTCAAACCCCTTCTGCAACTGCAAACTAATCTTCATCTCCGGAACCGACTCCAAACGAAACGTGTTCAGTTTCAGGCACGACAAGATGCTGGCGACGTCCCCGCCGTCCGCGGAGCCGACGACGACCTCATCTTCCGTGACGTCATCGACGACGGCGAGCTCGACGGCGTCGGCGATCCTTTTCCCGCCCGACGTGCCGATGGACTGCTCCAGCACGAGTCCGTCGAACGCCTCCGGGATCCTCGGAGATATCGGCCATGTCGACGACCGACATGCTCGCCTTGCTCGCGTCCGCCACCCATGCCAAGCACGACTTTGTCCAGACACCTTTGAAGCAGGTCAGTGTCCCGACTTTTGCCGGTTTGACTTCATGGGAGATGCGCCCGACCTTTGGCGGCTTGAAGCAAAGAAGCAAAAATGATTAGCGGCTTGAAGAGTGTTAGAGAACTCAGAGAACTCAGCTCGGCGTAAGTCGTGAAAGGTCGGGTGCATCTCAACTCTAAAGACTGTTTTTCAAGTGAAAACAACGTTTCTTCAAAACACTACATGTTGATTTACTTATTTAGCAAGGCCTAATTTCCCAAATGAGCAAAGCGTTGTTTTCAGAATGAAGGAAATGTGACTCCTCGAAAAGTTCCCTTTCAGTACGACCTATTTTTCCAAACTAGCAAGGCCTTGTTTTCCAAATAATTGAAACATGGCTCCTCGAATAGATCACGTTCTTCGAGGCCTAATTTTCCAAATGAGCAAAGTCTTGTTTTCCAAATGAATGAATCGTGGTTTCTCGAAAATATCACTTTTACCACGGCCGAATTTTCCAAATGCGCAAGGCCTTGTTTTCTAAATAAATGAAACGTGGTTCCTCTAAGTGATCCCTTTTAGCAAGGCCTAATTTTCCAAATGAGCAAGGCCTTGTTTTCCAAATAAATGAAACATGGCTCCTCGAATAGATCACCTCCTTCAAGGCCTATTTTTACAAATGAGCAAGGCCCATTTTTTCAAAACTTTAGGGAATTATTTTAAAGGAAGTTTTCTCTGAATGAGTCTAAATGGAAAAAGTTATACTTTGCAATTTTCGACTGCCTATTTTTCCAAATTGATAATTTTCATCCATGCTAAAGTACTGTAGCGATTTGAAAAATCACATTTTTTTCAAAATCTTCTCCACTTTCCAGACACCCGAAAAACTGGGAAAAAAAGAGCAGAGGTCAGAAAAAAGTGAAGAAGAAGAATGTGATAATCTGACAAGTTTGATGGAGATTAATTATTCGGAAAGTGAGGGAGGAGAAGCCTCAGATTCACCTTTCCCTTGGGGGGCTTCTTAATGTTCAGTTTTTTCCTGCATTCCTGGATTTCTTTCATTTTTCGGTAGTTATTGTGAAGAGTTTGAGTTTCTCTGTTTTTTGATGCCGATTTCATAACTTTTGGATTTTTAGAAAATTTTTTTGAGGGTGGTAGCATGAGTTTTAACCATTCAAAATGAGGTCATGACATTTTTTTTTCCTTTTCTGAAAACTTTTCTCCTTTTTTGAGCCTCAAGTCGACACAGTTTGCCCTGAAAATGTCTATTATCATCCTGCAACCGACTTGAAACGACTTGCGCGTTTCGTCTTGAAAATCGCCGAATTTTTAGCCATTCCAAATGCGACCAGGTCTACCCGATTTTCCCATGGTATCTGAGGTGTAATAAGCCTAATTTCTCTCTTATTTTGCCCCATAATCCACCGTAATCCTGAGAGAGAAATAGAAAAAAAAATCCAATTCGAATAACAAAAACAGCTGGAAAATGCGGACAAAAGAATTGTAGGCCCAAAATGCCGTGCCGCCGCCTAGAAACCTCCACAAAGATCTACAAATTTTTCATCGCCGAGAAAAAGATGTTGAATACAATCTCCTATAGCCTTTTCTTCTTGAAATTGAGACGCGAAAATGGAAAATATTCAGTTTTTTCGGCTGCCTGTTTCAGAGATTTATTAGAAAAAAGTTCGAGAATTTTTCGCGGTCTAGTTTCACAAATATAGCGTGGCCTGGTTTTCCAAATAAGTTTTACGGTTCATAATGAATTTTTTTGATGAGATCGGCTCATTCTGATCAATTCCAAGATTTTCCAGACGGTCGGGTTTTCCAAAGTTAGAATGACCTGGTTTTCCAAATTTTCAGCTGTGTAGCGAGCTTATATGTCTTTTGCCATGTGATATCATATTGGTGCAGTTTTTTAAAGGAACGTGATCTGTTTTTCCAAATATAGAGGCCTAGTTTTCCAAAAAAGCCTACCGAGGTCGATTTTTCCGAAAATAATTTTTGAAATATCCCATCATTTTTTTCATGGCCTGGTTTCTCAAAATTTTTTAAATTTTTCAATGAAGTTTATATAATCATGGTTTTATTCCAGATTGTAAGTGATCGGCCTAGTTTTCCAAATCAACTAAAAATAGTTTCACAAATAAGAAACCTCCAAAAAGCTTTGCCAGACTCGAAGTGCAAATTTTATCACCCATGGCCTAGTTTTCCAAACATTTAGTTTTTAGAAAAGTCAATATAAGCCAAATTTTCTAAATAATGAATTTACGAACAGCTTTCTAACGCTTGATAAGCAAACTTACTCACTCGAGGCCTAGTTTTCCAAACTTTTCTCCTCCGATAGCCTGGAAAGGCCAATTTTTCAAATCATCCAGCCCCAAAAAATGTTTAAGGTGTAAACCGTAAATTTTCTCACCCAAGGCCTAGTTTTCCAAATAAAGCCTAGCCGAGACAATTTTTCTTGATAATAAGCCTTTAAAGAGTTCCAAGGCGTAAACTGCAAACTTACGCACCCAAGGCCTAGTTTTCCAAATATTTATCATTAATGCCTGATCAAGCCAATTTTTTTGAATAGTGAACCTCTGAAAAGCTTTTCAAGGCTTAATCTTCAAACTTACTCACTCGAGGCCTAGTTTTCCAAACAATAGCCTGGAAAAAAAGGCCAAAGATAATCCCACTTTTTGCCCCATTCACCGTTTGTGTTTTCCAGGACGGATTTGCGTGATACTCGTATGATTCCTGAATGGGTAATGGGAATGGAACGAGGGGGGAAAAAGTCGGTTGGAGCCTCTTTCGTTTTCGGGATGGGGTGGGGATTAAGCTGACCATCACTCATTGTCGTCGAAACCGCCATGCCGTTGTAGGCTCCTCGGGATTAGGCCCAAAACCCACACACCAATTCCAAGAAGACGCTCTTTATAGCCATACGGCTCAGTTTTTCGAAGTTGAAGAGGCATGAGTAGAGTTGGAAAGGGGCTACGAGCTGAAAACGGAGGTTGTAGGTTCGAATCCGCTTCAGGGCGTGGGGATTTTTGCCATTAAAAACAATAATTGGTCTCAATGCAGTGGTTAGAGCTGTCAGCTTTGGATCTAGAGGTCGTAGGTTCGAATCCGCTACAGAGCGCCGTGATTTTTGCCATTTTTCCCACACCAATTCCAAGAAAGAGGCTCTCTATAGCTCAGTTTGTCGAAGTTGAAAAGGCATGAGTAGAGTTGGAAAGGGGCTACGAGCTGAAAACAGAGGTCGTAGGTTCGGATCCCCTCCAGAGCGCAGTCATTTTTGCCATTAAAAACATTGATCGGCCTTAATAAAGTGGCTATTCGGTAAGAAACAGAGGTTTGGAAACAGAAGAAACAGAGGAAAAACATTGATCGGCCTTAATAAAGTGGCTATTCGGTAAGAAACAGAGGTTTTAGGTTCGAATCCGCATCAGAGCGCAGTTATTTTTGCCATTTCCCTGCACTAATTCCGCGAAGACGCTCTTTATAGCCATACGGCTCAGTTTTTCGAAGTTGAAGAGGCATGAGTAGAATTGCAAAGGGGCTATGAACTGAAAACGGAGGTTGTAGGTTCGGATCCGCTCCAGGGCGTGGGGATTTTCGCCATTAAAAACAAAAATTGGTCTTAATGCAGTGGTTAGAGCTGTCAGCTTTGGATCTAGAGGTCGTAGGTTCGAATCCGCTACAGGGCGATATAGTTTTTGCCATATAATTCAAATGTTCTCTTTATTTTTTGAGACTTACAGACAATAATTTGAATCATGTCACTATTCAAAACATTAATTTGCCTAAGTAAAGTGGCTAGGACTGTTATTGTTAGATCTCGAGGTCTTTAGATCGGATCCGCACCAGAGCGCCGTGATTTTTGCCATTTTTCCAAACGATTTTTTGAAGCCTGCTCACAATTTAACAGTTCCTAGAAGGTTTATTCAACTTTTAATGCTTCTAATGTGTCGGTGCAAAAGTTAGAGTCGCCAGTTTCTAGTCTAGATGTCGTAAATTCGAATCCTCTCTAGAGCATTGTGATTTTTGCCATGCCATCAAAACTTTCCTCAAATTCATTAGATGCTTTAAAATCACAAATTACTCTGAAAATTTTATTTCATAACTTTGTTTTTGAAGTTCTTCGAAATTCCAACCAACTTCCTTTTTTTCAAACTTTAAAGTTTGCAAAAAAAAAAGCAAATGTTAAAAAGAAGCCCTGTATATGGTAATCCGTAATCGTAATCCCTTGAGGGGCTTCTCAAACTTGAAACTCAAGTTTGTGTGCAAGTTTCATCATCGCATCATTGGGGGGATTAGAGGGAAATGATTTTTTGGGAGGCAAGAGCAGATTACCGTTTCAAAAGTTTCATAATTTTTAGGGATATAAAACATTCAATGCTACGGTGGATTGGTTAGGGAAAAATGAGAATATGAAGATGCGCAGACAGAGAGTGAATGTCTGCGTCTCTAGGTTTCTAACGCTCTCTCTTTTTTTAGTTTTTTTAAGCAATTTCGAGGGTTTTTCGAAAAATCTTGGCCGCATTTGGAATGGCTGAGTAGCGGCCCAACTCTCAATTCAGCCGCAACGCAACCGCGACGCATTGAGCCATTCCCAATTGCGACCAAGCTTGAAAAAATCAAAAAAAGTTCAGACTTTTTACAAACTACACTAAAAAACAAAAAAAAATCCAGTGATGCAGGAAAAAATTGAACATTAAGAAGCCCTTCAAGGAAAAGGTGAATTTGAGGCTTCTCCTCCCTCACTTTCCGAATAATTAATCTCCATAAAACTTGTCAGATTATCACACATTCTTCTTCTTCACTTTTTTTCGACCTCTGCTCTTTCTCCCGGTTTTTGGGTGTCTGGAGAGTGCGGAGGGTACTTCAAATTACTCTTTCTGCTTCGATCAAAAATGCTCGTACTTTACAAACGTCCTCACTTCATCATTTTCCAGGAAATCCCCATGTTCACCGACTCCACGCTGCTCCAGTTCCTCCAGGCCCAAAATGCGGTTGCTCAGGTGGGATTTTTCAACGATAAATGGGTCACAAGTTCGAGTCCGGTCCAATGAGAATTTTTTTTTGCCATTTTGAGTCACGATGGATATGATGCGAGATAACGATGAGAACGTGTTTATTTTGGAATAATGTTATTTCTTCCTTAGTAGATTGGTTGGAAGTCTGATTATGACCAAAGAGGTCGCAGGTTCGACTCCTCTCGGCGGAAATAAGTTTTTGCTGTTTTCTTTATCCAAAATTTCAATTTTTTTTTTCCATTTTTGCATTTATTGAGAATAGTGAATGATAGTCTAATCGCTAAAAGCCTTGGATTTCACCGGTAAGGTCACAGGTTCGACTCCTCTCCTTGGAATGGATTTTTGCCATTTTTATTTCTTGAAATGAGGCAGTTTTTCAACATTTCTTCTTAGAAAAAAGGATATTTTAGAAACGAAAAGCTTTTTTATCATGTGAAAGGTCACAAGCTCAAATCCGGTTGTCAAAAAAATACTTTTTGCCATTTTTCCCTTCGAATTTAAATCACTTTTTCAGACATCTACTCCTAGAAACTTTATTTATTTTCAGTTACAAGCCCAAGCCGTTGCTCAACAACAACAGCAGCAGAGACAACAGCAAATCGCCCAGCAGCAGCAGCAAAATCAACAGAATGGCTCGCAGGAGAGGAAAAGGGTTGGTTTTGGGTTTTCTTGAGGGGAATCGCTGCGCCCGACCCCTCACGGTTTTATCCGAGGAAGAGAGAGAAAGAGGTGCTGAGAGAACTTTGTAGATTTAAAACCTATCGGAGACGCGACCGCAACGCGGCGATCCATTCCAAATGCGACCAAGGCGTTTTGAGGGGTTTCGCATGGTCTTTTGTTTGTTCAAGCCATTCCAAATGCGACCAGTATTTATTTAAGGGTCCTCATGTTGGGAAAAAAAAGGCGGGAATAATTGCAAAAACCAGATTTTGGTTGTAAATAAAAACTTATCGAACACGCGACGCGACCGCAACGCGGCGAGCCATTCCAAATGCGACTAAAGCTTTCAAATTGGTCCTGAATAAATTTTTTATGAATAAATAGCGTCAAGGCTGTAAAATAACAATATTTTATATCTTGAAAAAAAACTTATCGAACACGCGACGCGGCCGCAACGCGTCGACCCATTCCAAATGCGACCACAGCTTTTAAGAGGTTATGAATAGACCATTCTCTGAAAAATCGTGAAGGTCGGATTTTTGCAATTCTGAAAATTTTTCCAGTCATTTTTTCCATCAAAAACGACGTTTTCAGTCCTACCCCTGCACGTTCCAATTCTGTTCCCTGTGCCAAAAAGACGTCCATTCTTCGAAATTGCCCTGCCACATCCGCCAGTGTCACGTCGCCAAGCCCATGTTTCAGGTTTGGAATCAAAATTTTTCACAAAAATCCAAAAATGAAAAACTGAAAATTTTTATCAGAAAATCATACAGCTTTACGGTTTCATAAAAAGTTGTATATTTTTTTATGAGATTTTTTTCACATGTGTTTGTAATCAATGAACTTTAGTAAGAAAAATGCTTATTAATTTTTTTAAAAAAACCACCGCATGGTTAATTAATTATATAATTAATCATATGGTTAATGAAAATTCAAAAAAATTTCGATAAACCCCTGAAAATGACCACTTTGAGAAATAACTATTTTACTGTTTCAGATGATTTTTTTAAATTTTCACCAAAGTCAATTTTTTTGTTGGATTCCTTTAATGAATTGATCAATTTTTTTAATATCTTTTAAAAAAACATGAAAAACCCGATTTTTCTTGCGGTAAGTAGTCCCTTAAGGGTCTTTGACGACTCGAGGGGTCCCTTAAGAGTTTTTTTGAAGATAAAATTAGTCATTAGTTGTATTAAAAATCATAAAGTGGCTTCTGTTGAGGTCTTTGAAGTTTTTGAGTGATCATTTAAGGATTTTTTGGGATAAATTTTGTGTCCTTCACAACGTGGATGGTTTTAGGTTTAAAAGTTAGGCTTCTCATTGTTTCAGGCAGTTCAAGGGGCCACTTGAGGAATTCCTAGAAGATGAAAACCCCACTTTACTGTTTCAGAAGATTTTTTTAAAAATTTCACGAAAGTCATTTTTGCATGTTCAATTGTTTCAGTAATGATCAAATTTCAAAAAAACTTTTTTTCAACGCCAAAATTTTTGATGAATTCTATTTTTTTAAAAATTCTAGAATTTTTCAAAAATGCTCGCATTTTGAAAAACTTCTTTGCATTAATTTTTTTACAGTGTCCGGCATGTGATTTCACATCTACGTATTCGAAAAAAACAACGTCAAAAAGTCACATGGTCTCTCTTCATGGCTTGGCTGTCAGTTTTCATGAAGTCATTTTTGATTTTTATGACGTCATTTTTTTCAGGGCGATCCAATCAGCTATATGGACAAGTACGCGGCGCAGGTCGAAGAGTACATGAAAACCTGCTTTCCTCACGGTAAGTAATCACTTGAGGGACTTTAAATGCCGGAGAGGTCACTCAAAGGTTTTTTTGGAGATGAAATGGGTTTTTTCAGAGATTTTAAGCCTTTTTTGGGGTTTTTGCTAGGAGAAAGTCAAAAATAGAGCCACGAAAAAATAAAACGAAAAAAAAAAATCGTGAATATTCAAAAATTTGGACAAACCCCTGAAAAATGACTACTCTGATCAATCCTCATTACTGTTTCAGATAATTTTTAAGTTTGACCAAAAGTCCCTTTGTGTGTTAGACTTGTCAGGTATGTACAATTATTTTTTTTATTTGGAACATGGAAATTGGTTTCCCTAACGGTAAGTAGTCCCTTAAGGGACTTTTTGGAATACTGTATCTTGGAAAAAATCACTGGGAGTATAAAAAATGACAAAGAGGCCACTTAAAGGTCCTGGAAGCCTTCAAGTGATCACTTGAGGGTTTTGAGTTATAAAATAGCTTTTTAGTGAAAATTTTGTCTTTGAGAATGGTCTCAGATTCAAAATTTCGTCCTTTCAAGGTTTCAGAAATTTCAAGTGGTCACTTTAGGGGCCTGAAGCGGAAATTGGGAGAACTTTGAGTTTTTATCCCAAAAAAAAGGGCACTTAAAAGTTTTTTGGATATTAAGTTCTAAGTTGTTCCTGAAAAATGGCGGAAACTGACTTTTTCAAAAAAAAAAACATGTTTTTCAGTACGCGGCCGTGGACGGCCAATGCAAGGCCGATCATCGCCGAAATCGCCTTCGAGTCCGCCGAATCAAATCGCTCGCAGGGCTAGTCAGGTTCGGATTTATTGGAGTTTCTTCCATTTATTTTTATTGGTCATGAAAAAGAGGATTCGAAAGATATAAATTTTATTAAGAAAAAAACTTTTTTTGATCTTTTTTTGGAGGTTTTTTTAGGTTTCTCAGTACCTGGAAAAAGATATAGAAAAGGTATTTTCGAAACATATCATTCTATACAGAATTTTTTTCCTCTATAAAACAATGTTATATTTTTTTCCGAAATATCGAACATTTCCAGGTCTCGGCAGTCCAAAGAAGGGTCCAAGGACTTTCGAGCGAAATCCTCTCGATTGCTCAGCAACAGCACGCCGTCGCCGTCGCTCAACGTTTCGGGAGCTTGAGAAAGTTGGTTTCTTACCTTTTTCGCGGAAAAATGACATAAATTTTGGTTTCTTAAGAATTTTTATGGTGAAAATCATCAAGAAAAAAATTAATTTTAACTTTTCAATTTTCGATGACTTTGATGTTTCAGGAAAATTTTAAAAGCTGTTTTTTGTGTTTAGTGCTGTTGGGCTGTTTGGCTATTTTTTTAAAATATTATTCTGAAAAAGTCTAGGGATTAATGAAAAAAATGAGAGACATCCAGACGATCAGAAAAAAACTCGCCGTCTGGCGCTCTCTTAACTTATCGTACTCTTTAGTTTTTGGATTTTTTTCGAAGGTTTTTCTCATAATTTTTCAAATTCAGTATTGAAATAGACTAAAGGAAAAAGTGGCCAAAATCGCAAGGATACAGTGATAATTGTATAATGAGAGAGTCACAGACATGTAGACCTTTTCTCTGACTGCCTGGCACTCTCAACGTTTCTCATGTTCTCTAGCTTTCTACTTTAATTGAATATTTTACTCTTCAAGGCTTCAAGATAACTAGAAAGAGTGGAAAATGAGAAAGAAACAGACGTTAGAGACTTTCTCTGACCGTCTGGCGCCCTCCAAAATTTTCAAGAAGCTCTAAGAACTTGAAAATTTTCAAAGGCTAGAGAGCATTGAAAAGTAATAGACGCAGAGACGTTTGAGACTTTTTCTGACCGTCTGGCGCTCTCGAAAGTTTTCTCAGTGTGTGAGGCTGTAAAAATTGAAAGGCTAGAGAGCATTTGACAGTAATAGACGTAGAGACATTGGAGACTTTCTTTGACCGTCTGGCGCTCTCCGAAATTCCCGTCTAACTTTCTCCACCTTTTCCACACTCTCTATCCTCCTAACCCCTGTCTTGTAAATTCCTGGAATTCTGTCTGTTTATCACAAAAATCCAAGACAAGACAACAAAAAACAGGCGAACATATTTCACAAAATACATCTTTAATAAATGATAAACAAGGTCGACCCATCGTTTAGTGATGTTTTAAGGGAATTTCGCCTCCTTTCCCCGGGGGGATCATCTTTTTCGACGCGCCAAATCCGCCGCACATTTTCCAAGCGTCAAAAGTTAAAAATCGCGCCATTAACTTATTGAGAACATTCTCATTGGAAAATGGCCAGAATCCAACCAACCGCACTTTCAAAACGTCTCATTTTTAGTGATTTTGACATTTTTTGATATGCTTGGATATTCATAGAAAAATTTCGGCTTAAAAATTTTCCTTCGAATGTTTTAAAAATTCTCAAATTGTGAAAACTCTTAAGTGACCTGTAGGCCCAATATTTCCCCGGTTTTTCGCTTCAGAGCCCTCAAGGGACCACTTTATTTTCCTGAAAATTTAAAAAAATTAAATTTTTGAACCTAAGGCGATTCTCAAAGTTTTGGACACAAGGAAAGCTATTTTATTCCTCAAAACCCTCAATTGACCACTTGAAATCTTCAAGGACCCTTAAGTGGTCTCTTTATCATTTTTTATATCCCCACTGCCCTTTCTTATGAGAAAAATCCCAAAAAGTCCTAGAAGTCTCGAATTTTTTCTAAAACCTCTGAACAGGCCCGTTCATCTCCAAACCCCCCTTAAGTGACTCCCTCATCAAAAATCCCTCAAAGGACTACTTCTCATGAGGCAGACAGACTTTCATTTTTTTAAAATATAGAGAAAATTGAAAAAAATTCACTTCACATGTATCACTGAAGAATCAAGCAAGAAAAAAACAATTTTTAGAATATTTAAAAAAACAATATGAAACATTAAACTAGAGATGGATCAAAACAGTCATTTTTTAGGAATCTATCAAATTTTTCGCATTTCCGAGATTTTTTTTTTCGTTTAAATTATTTCGTGGCTCTATTTTCGATTTTCCCATGAAAATTATTCTGAACGTCTGAGAAAAAGCTATTTCTTCTCTCCAAAAAAACCCCTCAAGTGGCCTCTTTAGTCATCAAAGCCCCTCAAGGGGCTACTTACCGTGAGAAAAACATATTTTCATGTTAAAGAAATTAATATTTATTTAGTTAATTCTGACAGTGACTCAACATGCAAAATGATTTTTTTGTGCAAACTTAAAAAAATGTCTGAAACAGTAAAGTAAAGATCGATCGAAGCAGTCATTTTTGAATTTGTTAAATTTTTCAAAGCTTTTTTTCCGTTTTTCATTTTTCTCGCATCTGTTTTTTTGATCATTAAGAAATCTAGGAAAATTTAAAAAAATAAATAAAATGAAAAAAATAAAAAAAGCCACCCCTGAAGAAATGTGAAAAATCAAAAATCTCCAACCCGTCTTGATCCGCTTTTTTCTTCTTCTCAATGTTGAAACATCAGATTTTCGTAATTTAAGAATTCCCCCTCATCTTTCTTATCTTTGATAAACCAGGTGATTAAAGGTTTATCCCTGGCCAGATCTTTGTTTATTTATTTATTTTTGGTTTATTCGGTCTCGTGAGAAAGTTACATACATTTTTTTGGTTATCAAAAATCAGATTTAATATTTTTGAAAAAAATCAGAAAAAAATACGGATTTTTATTTTACTTGAATCAAGGTCAATTGGAAAATGATATTTTTTTAGAACACTTTACTGTTACAACTAATCGCTAAATTTGAATATTCTTAATTTCTCGATTACCGCATGTTCTTCCCTCGGCAAAAATCAGCGAAAGTTGTGGAAAAATCTAGAGATCATTGGAAAAGGAGAGAGTCCCAGAAAGTCTTTTCTGTCTACTGCTCTCTTATCTTCTTACGTTCTCTAACTTAGGTGAGAAATCTTGGGTAAGTATTGAGATTTTGAAGAAAAAAAAAATTAGAGATAATAGGGGAAAAGGAGAGTTTTCTCTCTTCGTCTGGGTTTCTCTGCTTTCTTCATAATCTCTAACTAAAAAGCAAAGAAAAGAAGAGCTAGAGAGTGTGGGAAAATAGGAGAGCGCCAGAGAGAGAAATGTCTCTCTGATTGTCTGGAACTTCCACTTTTTATGTTCTCTATAAAATTTTTTCTCGGCGTTTTTCGCGAATGTTCCAGCAGTCTCTACATGTTCTTTCAAGAGAGAAAAAGAAAAAAATAAATATCCCGACGGCTTAAAACCACGTTCCGACGATTAATCTGACCGAGAGCAAAAGCCCGCCTTTTTTTATTTTTTTGTTTACTTATTTTTCCCCGCCTGGTTTTTAAAAGAGACAACTTTTTCTCAGAGTTCTTCTTTATTCCTCAAATTCAATTTTTTTGAAAAAAAAAGCAAACATTTACCTAGGGACCGCAAGCCATTTCTTCAGAACGATTCAAAAAAAATATTTTTTACATTGTTCGATAGAGGAGACTGTCCATTTTCATAATCCGTTTAGTTTTTGACAAAAGCTCCACTAAGAAAAAAGTTATGGCCAAAAAACGAGCGCGCGCGGCGTACAACTGGAGGCAAAATCTCACGGTTTACCCGCTGCCGCACGCTTTCTTTTTAAATGTTTTTTTGCGCGTTTCTGGACCGTTTTTTAAATCGGTTTTTCTGTTTCTGAGAGGTTGTCAGAACTGATCTTTATGTTTTTGGCATGAATCATTCGCATAACTATCATCAGAATTTTTTTGATAAAATATCAAAAAAACTACCTAGAAAAAAAGGTCAAAGGGATTTTTTTCAGCTTATTTTTTTCTTTTTTTCTACTCAGAAAAAAATTATTATCATTCGATTTGGGAAAAAAAGAAAAAAATGAAAAAAATAATGTTATTTCGAAATAAAACAGGAAAAAGTGCAATTTGACTTCGAAAAACGGCTCCTGCAACATTTAAAATGGCGCATCGGTGTGTTTGACGCAAACACTGCTACGAACGCTTGCACGAATTCTTCCAAAATTTCAAAAAAAATTGCCATTTTTTCGAGGTTTTCAAAGCCGTTATTTTTTTCGCGTCGTTTGATTTTTTTCATAATTTTTTCATTGATAGAGTTTTGAACGCCTAATAACATAATCAAAAAAATATAGACGCGATCCTATTCTCTCATGCGTCAACGAGGCAGGCGAAAAAAAGGAGGTTTTGGTAAACTTCAAATATAATTTGATTCGCTGTCCCAATAATTATTTTCGTTCTGAATTGTTATTTTTGAACACATTGTGAGCATTTTTAAATCAAAAAAAAGTATACCATGTCGCTCAAATTTTTTTCGCATTTCAGCTTCAAAGTTTGGTGTCACTTTACAAGCTTTAATATTTTTTTCGCGTCGTTAGATTTATTTAAATTTTTACTCGAAAAATAAAGAAATTGTTAATATATAACATACTCAAAATTTAGAAGCGTTCCTCACTTGGTTTTTCAGAAACGCGACGATTTTTGTGAAACTTGTCAGTTTTTTTCGTGTTAAATCTTACTTTTTCGCTTATTTTTTTGAAAAAAATACATAGTTTTAAAAAAATATTCAGTCTTGTAGAGCGTTGTCGATTACATAGATTAACAGAAACAGTTTATTTTTTTAAAGTGGAACTTTAGCTAGTATAAACGCCTCAAAACCGTTTTTGCAACAAAAAAAATCGTCATTTTGGTGGCGTGAAGGGGCGGGGCTTTGCGCCCCCTACATTTACCGTCATTTGTCTCATCGCGTAGCTACCAAGCGCAAGTCGTTTTGAGGTCGGGCGCAAATTCAAAATTGCATTGAGCCATTCCAAGTGCGGTCAGGAAGTTGCTCTGATCATTTCAATATTTTTTGCGGTTTCTAAAATAATCCTTTTCGGATCAAGATATTCCTCGAATTGGAGAAAAAGCTGAATTTTAGCCATTTTTTTTTTTGAGTTTTCGAGGTATTTTCCCTCAAGAAATCTGTGTTTTTGAATTATATTGGTCCATTTTGCAGTGGCGGTCGTTTCCCGGTGATTCCGTCGATTTTCCCGCCTCAGCCGATAATTACCAACAACAACACGATCATGCATCCCAGCAAGCCGTTCGGATTCCTTCCCAAGGTATTTTTGCACTTGAAATCAATGGGTTTATGACACAGAAGTCGTATTACTTGCTTCATAGCTTCCCGATGCAAAATAGCGCAAGTGGTTTCTGGTCGGCTGCAACTTTAGATTCAGTGTTTTGATATTGCGATGCGTTGAGCGATGCCGCAAAGCTTTTCATGTTCAAAGCGCGCAAATCGTTTCTGGTCGGCTGCAACTTTAAATTGATTCATATGAGACCGCGACGCCTTGAGGCATGGCACAAAGCTTTCCATGGTCAAGGCGCGCAAGTCGTTTCTGGTCGGCTGCAACTGCAAAAAACGTTTTTTGGACGCATTTGGAATGGCTCAACGCGTTGCGGCCTTTCAAATGGTTTTTAGGAAGCTTGTATGGATTGATAGTGCAAACCGCCTCGATACGCGACGCGCTGATCCATTCCAAATGCGACCAATGCGGTTTTCTTTGAAGCTTCTCCTAGAAGAGAAATCCTGCGCTTTTTTGTAGAAATGAAATAAAAGCGATCGCACCGCCTTGAGCCATTCCAAATGCGGTCTGTTTTCTTATTTTCGAAGAGTAATTATGATGAGAATGTCCCATTTTTTCAGAAGGAATTCTGAAGTGAATGAAGCAACTTTTCAGGAGGAGTCCGACTCCCCGAACAACCTGACCTCGTCGCTTGACGACCTGATGAGCGGAGTCAGCCAGAGGGCAACGACAGCTTCCCAGGCCTCCGTCCGGACCGCGTCTTCGACGTCGACCCTCCAGCCGGTCAGGCCCGGCGAGAACATCCAGCCCCGGTACCTGAACTCGACCCTCACCTGGTCGGTCCTCAACGGCGCCCAGGTCAAGAACACCATCTTCGAGGAGTCCGCCAACACCGTCGACGACATCGTCGAGGTGAGATGAAAATCGGGGAAAAAAAGGAGAATTTTGATCTGGGAGCTGGAGAAACTTTTTTGACTCTTAAACTTGAAAAAAACTCCAAAATTGATTCCAGCAAAAAATCAGCGTCAGAATTTTTCAGACTTTCTCAATTCTCAAACTTTAAAAAGCTCAGAACTTTCGAAATGGAAAGGTTCAGGCTTCTGAGCAAGATTTGCTCAAAACATTTTCTGTGGCCAGTAGGCGTGGCTAACTGCAACAGCGGCACGGTTTATTGCAATAGGGGCGCGGGGATGAGAGTCAAGTTTTGTGGATTTACTGGTTGAAAAAAAGACCATTTAATAATGTTTTTTTTTCTAGGTTCTTGCAAGATTTCGAAGGTTTTTCAATGTGTATTGATAAAAAAGTCTATTCAAATAAAAAAAAGCACAGATTTAAAATCAGCAAGAAAATCTGTGTCAAATGAACCCTTTATCATCAGAAATACGAGAAAATCGGTTCCAGAAAATCAACAAAGCGATGGGCGACCAAGAGCTTCTGAGCGAAGAACCGGCCTTGACGCCTTCGCAATCGGCGGCCGTCCAGGCGGTCCGAAGTCAACTCCAACTTCAGCAGTTTGAAGTCGAATTCGCCGTTCATAGGTTCGTTGAGAAGAAAAAAGCACTTGCATGGCTCTCGGCACGTAAAATTACTGTATTGATAGAAAAAAGTCACTAAATCTCGTTAGGAATTTCAAAAAGATTTTTTCACTTCTGAATTTGAATAAAAATATCTGATTTTCCAATGAGTCTCTCCACGAAAACTACAGTAATCCGATAAAAAAAACTCATAATTCGCTGCCAAAAGTTTTTTTCTTCCGTTTTTTTCTTGGTCTTCGCACGAAAAACTACAGTATCTCTAGAGAAAAAAATCAGTAACTCTCGTTAGATATTGCAAAGTTATTGCATTTAGAAGAACTTTAGACATCTTTTTCGAAAATCCTCGGCTTAAAAACAAATTTAACATTTTTTATCGAGTTTTGGCACGAAAAACTACAGTAATCCCTTAAAAAGCTGCAACAAAATTCACACTCTGAAGTTTTTTTACCCCAATTTTTCCTGAGTCTTGGCACGGAAACTACAGTAATCCACGAAAAAAAAGCACCGTAATTTCACACAAATCAGCATTTAATTTTTCACTGCACGTTTGCATGAGAAATACACTGGCGCTGTTCGTTTTTTTCTCGAAAAAAAGTTTTTGAAAAATTTGAAATTTATTGGGCAAAGTGACTCGGCTGAAAGTACTGGAAAAAAATCTAGATTCTTTGAGAAAATGGTCTTGACACGATTCTCCTACAGTAACCTGCTAAATTATTTTTGTAAAGAGTAGCTTGAGTATATGAGGCAGGAGACTCTACCGGGCCGTAATTTTATTTATTTTTTTAATTGGTCCTGACACGATTATCTTCTACAGTAACTCATAAATTTTTTTGGAAAGAAATCAAAATGGTCCTAAAAAAATGTTTTATTGCAGTAACCAATCAATTTTTAAAAAAAAGAGGAGAAGAAGTCAGAAAATCATATCTGACGCTTGTTTTGTAAGAAAATGGTCCTACAACGATTCCTCCCGTAATCTTAACGTTTTTCTAAAAATTAAGCTGTAGGTTATGTACCAAGCTTCTATAGTCGTATCACACAGCCGAGTCGCTAGAAAAAATAATGAAAAAAAAGTGGAAGAAACGCTCGGCGCCCTGTACTAACATCCTTGGTTGTCTCGTTGATGGGGAGCAGATAAGACGCGCTGAATCTACAGCATCTACAGAATGGACCTGAAAGTTCTCGGGCCGGAGCTGGTGAAACTGGTGGCGAGCATCGCGCCGACCTCGGCCGACTCGACGCGTCTCAAGACCCTTCAGGCGAGACACGTCCCCCTGGGCGACAACGAGAAGTTCTTGTTGGCGGTGGGTCTTCCTTTCAAGAAAAAACGTCAAAAAAAAGTCATGGTATAGTCCATTTTAAGCGACTTGAGGAGGCGGGATTTCTCTGCGCCCTCCTCGTCTCTCGACGACTCTCTCATGTTGACCTTCTATTCCATGTTCCTCTGACCTCTCCGGTGAAGGAACAGAGAGACGCAGACAGGCAGAGAATTTCAAATCGCGGTGAACGGGCAACATAGTCCATTTTCCGTGACTTTCTGAGAGCGCAGACGGGCCACGCCCCTTTTTGCCCAAGTTACCCGTGAATCGGCTCTATAAACTCCTAATAAGCTGGGAAAAAAACCGTCTAACTTGTCTGAACTCTCTCTCTCTCTCGTCTAGAGAGTGAGAGAGTGCAGACAAGCAGACATCATTTTATGCCGGCAATTTCAAAATCGACTCGTTATTCATTTGAAATATTCCCGCGAAATAGGAAGCCTTTCGAAATCATAGGTCCTACAACGATTCATCGTAAAATATGATTTTTTACGGTGACTTTTACGGGCGAACTCCAAATTTCAAAGTTATTCGGGAGTTTACAACGAAAATTTCTAAATTTCAAATCTATTTGGGAGTTTACAACGAATATTTAAAGTCACCGTAAAAATGCAAATATTTCCATGAATCGTTGTAGGACCCATTTTTTTTTTCTAAAGGACTCCCAGAATTCTATTTTTTCCTTTTCGCGGATTTTTTTTAAAACGAATAACGAGTCAATTTTGAAATCGTAGGAAATGTTTCGAACACGGGATTTCCTTTAATAAATCTACCATATCATTCAATTATCTATCAGTTATCAAAATTAATCTTGTTCAATTTTAAGCTCGCCGGAATCGACAGAATGGAGGAAAAGCTCCAAACAATGTTGCACATGGGAACTTTCAAGTCGGAAATTGATCGCATTTCTGAGGTTTCTTGAAAAAAAAAATCAGAAATATTCAAAGAAGTTTTCCAGCAACTGAGCCAACTGGCCAACGCCGGCCGTGTGCTCCAGAATTCGGACGTCTTCCGTCATCTGATGTACCTCGTCTTGACGTTGGCCAATTTAGCGATCGCTGGAGATCGAGCCGCCACGGCGATCAGTGGTTTCCGTGTTGGCCAGATCAAGGAGGTGATTTCTCAAAGGAATTATGGAAGGATGAAGGATGATAAAATTAGGGAAAAATGGAAAATATTATTAGATCCTATTAGAAGCTGAAAATTGAAAAATAACAAAGAGGGTGCTCTAAAAATGGAACAGAGGAAGAAATGAAAAAAAATGCATTCCAGAAGTTTATTCTGAATAAATTGAAAGTTGGTATCCTGGAAGATATAAGTTTCATCGAACGTCTAAAATGAATGTTGAGAAGAAATAGATAATTCCGCTGTTTTTTGGAAAACTTAGTAAAAAAAGTTCGGAACTCAGAAAGCAAAATCTATTTTGGAACTTTTCTTTTTTTTTAGTTGTGCTCCCAGCCTCTGCCATCGGGCATGACGATCTTCAATATTTTGGTCGCGGCCTTGAAAAACGAGTTTCAAAATGTTCGGGAAGCTTGTGACCTCTATGAAATGTTGTTAACAGCGGGACAAGGTGAGAATAATCAACAAAAGTATAAAGTTGATAAAAAATGTTTTCAGTCTCATTCACGGAGCTCACACAATCAATGTGCCGACTGGACGAGCTGAATGTGATCGCCGAACGAGAATTGGAAGGAAATCGGGGCAATCAGGACCTCAGCGACTTCATCGACAGCTCCCGCGGGCAAATTCAATCGCTTTATGATGATTTTTACAGCTCAAAGGTACGGGGATTCGAAAAAAAATGTCAAAAACTCTTGATGCAGTTTTTAAAGACGCATGAATATATTTCACGAAAAACAACTAGCGCGAAGAGCCGTTCTACGCTTTGAACACTTCAAAAAGAAGTTTCGCAAGAAAAAAAAATCCATGAACAATTTTTGAACAAACCTGGAGTGAAATGAAACATTATAAAGCAATCGATTGCAGGAGGAGCTAATCCGCTCACTTTCCTTCCTCGGAGAACCGATCCCAAGGCTTGACGAGCCTTTGAAACCCGAGGAAGTCTTCCGAAACATTGGCGAATTCCTCCGCGAACTTCATTCCTCCCTGGATTTTTCCGTTCCGAATGAAGACACTCAAATCAACGTTTCCTCGCCTTGAATCTGTTCACAAGAAAAGTAAAAATCCCAAAAAATGTAATTTTCGTAATTTGATGTGTTTTCGACGCAACGTGTGTTTGCAGATTTTTCTACCGTAACTTTTTTTTTGCTTTTTTGCTTCATTTTCATTATTTGCGTGATAAGTATGGCATAGTGTCAGAGAGTTGTACTTTATAAATGGCCAAATCCGAGAGATTTTAAATAGAATTCCCTATAAATTTTTCACTTTCCTATCAAAAAATAATCCGAGTGAATTTATTATTCTTTTTTTTTCGAGTTACCCCATTGATAAAAAGCTAAAAATGTGCCCTAAAATTCAGAAAGTTTGCCAAGAAGTTCTTTTTCACCTTTTTCGTCTCATAATAGCGTTCGCATTATCCCAAGTTTCTCCATAATAATGTAATAATCATATTGATTTTAGCTTTTCCTACCAATCACTTTCGATAATTTATCAGCTTTAAAAGTAGATTTCCTCTTCCTGCACCCCTCTCGCCGATAAAGAGACCAATTATTATTAGACCTGCATTTCATTGATTTTCCAGTAAAGTCACATATCCCAAATTGAAGCATTTCCCAGTAGGTCATTAGATTTCTGATACATATTTTATTTTTAACCAAGTGCGTGATCTTATTCGTACCCTCGTAATAAGCGATGATAATTTAATAATAAAAAAATTTTGAAAAATAAGTGGGTCAAAAAAATTGGCGGTGCCAGAAAAGATTTGCGCCCCGCGGCGAATAAAAAGATTACGGTAGCCGAATGATGACAAAACTTGCGGCTGTTTGAAAATATTCCCATTTTTCCTTGTTTTCGTCCGTTTCTTTTTGCGTTTTTGCGTTTTCGTGTTTATTTGTGAATTTAATGATAAGATTTTAAAAATTGGATGGTATATTTTCAAGAGTTTGAAATATTTCCGTGTAAACAGCGCTTCTTCGCAATATTTTTGTAAAAGTTCAAAAATATTTTTTTCCTTTCATAAGGTTGCCTAGATTACATTTTTCCTCAAAGCTTTTTATTCACCCAATCGATTTTTCTGAATTGTTTTTTTCGAAAAAAACAAGGTTATTCAACTAAAGGCATTTATGACCTATTGTAAAAACAGAACGTGGGTCAATATATTTATCATTTCCAAAAAGTTCTCGACTCGCAGTTTATTTAATCTTTCCGTTCTTTTTTCAAGTTTATTCAAGAAAATATTGATAATTCACTTCTGGCTTGAGAAAAAAAGCATCAAAAAAATCAGGAATGCATTGTTTGACTCATTTTTTTATTCGTACTTTCACATCCATTATCGAATTTTTAAACGAATTATGTGTCAGTTCATGATAGTAGGGGAGAAATGAGTCATAAAGTGTATTGAAATACAAAGAAGCTTGGCCCATATTTCTGGAATTGAACTCCCAGGCTGAAATATTTTTTGCTTTATTTTTTCCAAGCCAGTTGTGAAAGTTTAGTTCGTTCAAAGAGCTTTGCTGAGGTGTTTAAAGACGCAAAAGACTTGCAAGGCTCGAAATAACTTTGGAACATGCTTTTCTTCTCGAGACCTCCATGATAACAGCCTATGTGCCTTTAAACACCCCAGACAAGTTTTTTGGGCAGTTTTACAACAGAGTTTCTCTTTAAATCTTATAAAATGCTTCAAAATCAGGAATTCCTTTTATGAAGTTCTTTTTGAGTTTCGAGACATGTTCCGTTATCTGTGTGAATTCGTTCTCTTGCCTATTATTGTCAAATAAATTTAAAAAGGTGTTTTTTTCAGCCAAAACTTGTGTGATAATGGCTGCATTATTACATTTAGCTCTTCAACGCGATTATATCGAAAAATGCCAGTGAGGATGTGAATATCCTTATTTGGTTTTTTTCTTAAAGGCACAGGCCTTTTTTTCGACTATGCTTCCTTTGATAATAAAAAAACCTTTTTAAGGATTTTTTTGTTTTTTTGAAATGGCTGGGAAGTTTGGATGGTTTTTTTGTGAAGAACCGTTTCATTACGGGATTTGATTGATTTTGTAAATTTTTTTGACTCGAAATTCGATTTTTCAAATTATTTTTTTGAGAGTCTTTCATGTTACTTCAGAAAAAGTAGTTGCGATTTCATTTTTAACCATTTAAAAACGGAAAAAAATAATTTAGAATTTTTTTCGATGCTCTAAAACTGTTAAAAATTGATTAAAAAAACAAAAAAATCGTTCATATTTCCCAGCATTCCTTTCTGGGATGACTATATATTTTTGAAAAAAATGATTTCTACGTCCAGGACCCTTCATTCTGGCCCTGACATCCAAAAGAAGGTCCAACGAAGAAAAGGCCTTCATTTTGAAAGCTTTCAACAAGTGGAAATACCTGACCAATGTTTGGTTCCAGGTAAAATTGGGGAAAAAAATAGAAAAAAGGTGAAAAATCATAGTTTGCCGACGTGTTGCCGGAGATTGAGTTGCTCGTGGAGGATGCCGATTTTCCGGCCAAAGATTATGCGGCTCTTCTCTCTTCCAAGGTTTTTCTGAAACAATGTACATATTTGTTAATTGTGAAGGTTTTTTTAAAAGCTTGAAATTTTTTTATGAAAAAAAATATTTTTTTCTATAATTTTGGAATAAAACTTTGGATAAATAGAGTTTGAACACAAAAAGAATCTTATTGTAATTTTTTTGTCAGTGATGGTAAATTTTGATGTAATTTCTCGAAGTCAGAGTTTTAGGGTTTTTTTCAAAAAAATCACTTTTTTTATTGATTTTTTTCCCCGGAAAAATATGATTTTTCAGCTTGTGATATGTTAAATTTTTTTAAAAGGAGAATTAAAAAAAGCAAGTTTATCTTGAATTTTTTATGATTTTTAATTTTTTTACTTTTTAGGAATTTTGGCTATAAAAGTACGGAAATGCTTTCAGTTATTGCGAGATTGACGAGTTTTTTTCAAAAAAAGTGTTAAATTTTAGCTTCTTAAACAGGAAAATAAGGAATCTGGTTGAAAAATTTTTTTAGCTATTTCTATAGTTTTGAAATGGTGAAACTTGAATTTTCTTGTTGAAAAAATGAGCTGTTGAAGTTTTCAAATTTTTCCTCGGTTCAAATCTCAAGTTTCCAGGTCTATTTCTGCTTGGGCCTCTACGATCGGGCCCTGACTTTGGCCCTACGAGCGGGCGATTTGTTCAACGTCGTTCCAAATGCGGAATTTGGCCTCGAAAGTGACTCGGAAGTCCGTTTTGAGCTGGAAATTGAAAATAAATCCATTTATTTATAGTACGTCGACAAGATGGTCCAAGTGGCGATCGATACGTTCAAAGTAGAGAACAAGAAAAATCACGGCCTTGTTGATTCCCAAATCAGCGGCCTGATCACCAAGATTGTGAACAGGAATTTGGAAAAGGTCAATCTTTGGAATGGGAAAATAAGAATTTTCTGTTGGAATATTGATTGAAATAGACTTGAAAATTTGTTATTTTTGAGTAATTTGAGAATCTTTATGGGTATTTTGATAGAAGACCCTGTTGGAGAGGAGAACTGGCTATTTTTCAAGGAAATAATTGTGTTCCTGAAGGTTTTTCATTTTTCAAAATACTGTGGTGAAAAATGCAGAAACAGGTCGGCTTTTTGATCAGAAAAAAATGCATTTTTCTGTTGAAAAATCCGTTGAAAATTGCTTGAAATTTTGTTATTTTTTTGTGAAAATTGAGATTTTTTTGGAGGCATTTTTGAAGTGAAAAAGGTCTTATTGGAAATAACATGATAATCATTTTTTTAAGAAAAATGATCGTATTTTTACAAGATTTTTTTCAATTTTTTTGAAATATTGTGAAGAAAAATTTTTGGGATTTTTGGAGGAGAAAGAGGCATTTTTCTGTTGTAAATTTGATGGAAATAGGCTTAGAAAGTTGTAATTTTTTTGAATAAATCAAGAATTATGGGGAACTTTTGATGTGAGGTCCTACTGGACAGCAACAAATAATAATTATTTTTAAGAGAATCAATTTTTTTATCTTCTCATTTTCAAGAGCTTTTATTTTTTTCACCCTGTTTTTTTAAGATATTTTTGAACTAAATTTAGGAAAATCATTTGAATGCGACAAAATTTCATTTTTTTGTTGAAAAAAATTGGTCGGAGATCTCTTGAAAAAGTTGTAATTTACAAGGAAAATGAGAATGCAAATGTTAAAATATTCAATCCGGGTGGAAACTTTGGTTCATTTTTACAATTTTGATTTTCAAGACTTCAAAGATAACTTTATCCCTGTCTTTTTCTATAGGAAAAATTTCTTTATTCTGACCTTAGAAGCGACTTTTTGAGTCATTCAATCTTTTTTGCATATATTCTCGGTTTCAGAAAGAAAACTGGATGGTGATCGCGTTGGGCTACGAGTTGGGCCGTTTGGACATTCTCCGACGTGGACTCGAGGCTCTCGACGAAAATCTCCCACTCCGCGATGAATGTTCATCATTTCCCTGTCCCTATGTTCCTATCATTTCCTCTTTTTCCCAGATATCCTCCTCAAAACGCTCCGTTTGGCCTTCTCGGCAAGTATCACCCCGGATTTCCGCTACGAAATCATCCTGACCGTCTTGGCCCGCTACGAAAGTTGCACCGAGAAAAGCATTTGGCGCATCTGCCAGGTACCCAATGACCCAAACGACGACCTGTCTATTTGTTTTGAAATTTCCGATTTTTAAGGGCTGGATCCAGGTGAATGAGTTCAATCGGATCGCCGATTTGCTCTGCATCCTGGTCGAACAGGTGAATCGTTTTTCATTATAGTCCATTCGGGGCGCGTCGTAGCGCAACAGGTTGTGTGCCTGTCTACGGCCCACAGTGTCACAGGTTCGATCCCCGACCCAACCGAGGGGTTCAAAAAATGTTGGTAGTGAAACGACGGCTTCATAATCCCCAGCTCTTCTCTCACCGGCGAGGTCAGAGAAAAACGAAAATAGCACGTAAACATGAGAGGGTCGTCGAGAGATAAGGAGGGCGCAGAGAAACGTCAGTTTCAAGTCGCGAAAAATGGACTATTGAGCCCCCGCCGCGACTTGTAGTTTTCTGCCTGTCTGCGTCTCTCTGTCCCTCACCGGCGAGACCAGAGACACATGAAAATAGCATGACAGCATGAGAGAGTTTTTGAGAGACAAGGAGGGTCTAGAAAAATAAAAATAAAAGCAGTTCAAGCCGCCAGAAGCGAAATATAGGGATTTAATTTGTTAAAAATTCATTAATTTTTAAAAAGAAATGGTGGAAAGATCCATTCCTAAAAAGAAAAATGAATTTTTTTCGATTGTTTTTGTTGAATTTTTCATAAATTTAGAGCATAAATTTGAACAAGAAAGACAAAATATGCCTAGTTTTAGAGGATTGAGGGATTAAAATGACCTTTTTCTATATTTGGGTTGAGATTTTCTTTCAAGTGCTTCTGGAATTTTTTTCTAGTTCAAACATAGGTAAAAATTGAGTTGGAAACTGAATTTCATGCTTTTTTTGATATTTATAGAGTTAAAAAAATAAAAGGAATATCTTTTTCCTATTTCTGATTTTTTGTCTCAACCTTTCGCGTGCGATTTTTAACTTGAAATATGAGAAAGTTCAGAAATTTTTCATGCTTTTTTTGAAAATTTTTGGTTTTAAATTTTTCTAACATTTTTTTCAAATTTTCGTGTGCAAGTTTTAACCTGGAATCAGAGAAAAATCAAATTTTTTCTCTCGGGAAGGTGAATTTCTAACAAGAACGAATGCTTTTCTCACATTTTTTCTCGAATATTTTTCAATTAAAATATCTTTTTTGCAGGGAAAAGAACCGCTCGCCTATCAACTGGCCTTCGATGTCTACGAAAACAGCAACCCGCAATTCATGTTCAAAATGAACAGCCGCATGGAAAATTCGCTCCGTCCCAAGGCTCCGCCCGGAGCGGTTTATCAACAAAAATCATGAAAATTATCATTTTTTCCTTGAAGAAATACGAGCCGGGACGTTCGCCCGGCGAGAAATTGAAGCGAATTTTGCGAGGCGACGAGACGATCCGCCAGAGAACTTTGTTCTACTGTCGCCACAACAAAGTCGACCACCCCCTCTTACAAGTTTCTCCCGGGATTTTTGAGAAAGCTTGAATGGACATTTTGGAGGAACTGAAAGACAGCACGAGGTCGGCCGTCGCCTGCAACGGCCTGATCATCGCCCAGGGGTTCACCAGCTATGGAACGACCAGTCATCGGTTCATGAAGTTTGTATTGGGGTGGGCTAAGGGATTTTAGGACCAAAATTGGGAAAATGGTCATTTTGTGAAGAAAAAAAAAACCTTTTAGGCGTCTTCTGTAGTTTTTTGTTCAGATTTTTTTTTTCAAGACTAATGACGTCATTGGAAAAAACTCTGTGGATGGCTCGCTCTTTGATTGGTTTATCACGCCATTAGGGGCGGAGCTTGAGCGACGACTTGACATCCAAAATCTGAACAGACTTTATGAGTCGAACTGAACGCTTTATTAGCCTTGTAAACCTAGAAACGACTAGCCAACGATTTATGAAATCGGTATTGGGGTGGGTTGAGGAGTTTTAGGGCAAAAATTGAAAAAATCGAACGTTTCTCAACAGGAAAAATGATCATTTTTTTGGTCTCGAAGTGACCTTTTTTTATAGTGATATACCATTCTCTGAGGTTGCCCTTCTCTGAGATGAAAGCTTCAATAATTCTGTGAAACTGGATTTTATAAGTTCAACTTGAAGATTAAAACAGAAATAATAATCTTTTTTTTTGGTTCTGACGCAACCTCTTTAGGCTTCCTCTTGTTCGGAGCTCCTATAGTCTGTTCACTTTTTGAATGTCAATTGCAAGGACGTCATTTGAAAACGCTCTGAATGGCTCGCTCTCTGATTGGTTTATCACGCCATCAGAGGCGGAGCTTAAGCGACGACTTAATGTTCAAAACCTGAACACATTTTATAAGTTGAATTGAAAGCTTTAATAGCCTTGAAAACGTAGGAAAGGCTAGCCATTATTTTATGAATTTGGTATTAGGGTGGATTGAGGGATTTTAGGGCAAAATTGGAATAATTAGAGCTTTGAACTGGAAAATTGATCATTTTTTGATCTTAGAGCTGTTTTTTTTTTATTTGCAGTGGTCAATTTCTATGCTGAAAGCTTCGAAAACCATTTAAATGAATGAAGGAAAAATTTCAAGCTTTAAACAGGAAAAAAAAAGTCATCTTTAGGTCATCTCATCCTCCGAATTCATTAAAATTAAAAAAATAATACGGGCTTTTGAACGCCTAGTCATCGGTTTTCAAGAGAAAAAAACGAGCTTTCTTTTTTAGACACGAAAAAAATCAATTGTTCCGGTTGGATTTTTTTGAGAAGATTTTTTTGGCTGAAGTGCGGACCTTCCATACGTGGGCTAACAGGGTGTTTTTCACTTTCAAAAAGTAGTTGGTTAGCCCATGTATGGGACCTTCTGATAGAAAAACGCCTTTTTTTCTTCATTTTTTCAAATTTTGTGTTCCAGAACGTTTTTGCCGAAAAAATCAGTTTTTAGGAAACTCCATGAAAAAATAGACTGCGTTTCATTTCGCTTTTAAATTTTTTTCTCGTTTTTGTGAAAGGAAAGAGGTTCGAAGCCCAATTTATTTCTGGAACGTATTGCAGGGCCTACCCGGAATGGGTGTCCCGGGCGACCAACTGGAACAAATTTAACGCGGTGGCCTCCCTCGGGTTGATCCACATCGGCCAGGAACAACACGCCATGTCCTTCCTCCGGTCCTACATGCCCAGCGAAGGCAGAACCACGTTCGGGTACCAGGAGGGCGGAGCCTACTTTGCCTATGGTGATTGGCTTGGATTTTTCATTGGGAAATTGGAAAAATCGAGAATAAGGGATGATAGAGATGATATGCTTTGAAAAATGAGTTCAAGTTTATTTTCCTTTTTAAGATTCGGAGAAAAATGGATAATTCAGATAATTTGCTAAATATGTCTTAGCTCAATTTTTTTGGGGGAAAAAAAGACGTTTTTGAAGGTTTTTTTATAACTTCAAATTGTAAAGAAGATCTTTTTTCATTCAGATTTTTCAGGATTTATCGTTTTTGAACTTTTAAAAAAACTGTGTAGACTTGAAAAATGGCCTAGACCTTTTTTTTTGAAAAAGAAATATCTGTTGAGGAGATTTTAAACTACAGTTCCTTCAAGGAAAAGATGTTTTTTTGGTAGTTTTATTGTTCGGGATCATACATGGGCTAACCCACATTTTTTCGTGACGTCAGAGCGGGCCCCCCTTGAAAAAGAGCGTACCCCCCTTGGAAAAGAGCGTACCCCTACAGAAAAATCTATTGATGTGAAATATTTTTCAAAGTTGGGTTATGGATTAATTAGCAAATGTTTATTAATTTACGATCCATATGTAGTACATTCAGCTAAGTCTCGCGCCGTCAAAGTGATTGTCGGTTGATGACTTGCGGGCCCTCCGGCCTATCCCGATTTGCGAAAATCGATCCGATTTCAATTTCAAAAATAATCATAAATCAGAATCTATGATCTGGCCAAGTTTCAGGCCGTTTGGATGAGTTTTGAGAAAAATGATTTTTCCGACCTCTCAAAAGTGATTTTTCGAAATTTCCAATTTTTCGGCTTAAAATCATTACTAATCTTGAGATAACACCTAATAACGACAAATTACTCAATTTGCAACCTTTTGGAAGTTGTTCCAGTCGAATTACAAGATTTTGGGCTTGTGAGAATAAATATCAATTGGTGGCTTGCGGGCTCCCCCGGCCTATCCCGATTTGCGAGAATCGATCCGATTTCGATGTTAAAAATAATCATGAATCAGAATCTACGATCTGGCCAAGTTTCAGGCCGGTTGGATGAGTTTTGAGAAAAATGATTTCTCCGACCTCAAGGGGGGCCCGCAAGCCACCAATTGATATTTATTCTCACAAGCCCAAAATCTGTAATTCGACTGGAACAACTTCCAAAAAGGTTGCAAATTGAGTATTTTGTTGTTATTAGGTGTTATCTCGAAATTATTAATGATTTTGAGCCGTAAAAAGCGAAAAATAAAAATCTAATGGCCGGAAAATGAATAATTTTCAAACCCTTCCGATTGGCCTGAAATTTTTGTGAGAACGTGTAAAATGTGTAATATTCACTTTTAAAAAAAGAAATCGAATCGATACCTATCATTCTGAAGTTTTTTTAGGACATGATTTATACGATTCGCCGCAGTATTTTCGACCGTTTGGCGCTAGTATAAGATTTTGTCAATAATTTCACCACTCAATAAACTTCAAAAGGCTTAATGAATAAAATAAACCAATTTCCTGTAACTTATCGACCCTTATTAAAGGATCGAGGGGCCCGCATGTGCTAAATGGGCTGCTAGCCCACGTATGTTCGGGATATATTTTTTTTTTTGGAAGACTTATAACGCTGTGAAATAACAGTCGCATGAAATTATATATACTTTAATGATCTAATTTTTCCAGTTTTTTTCTTATTTTTTTGAACCATGTAAACTTAGCAAACGTGAAAAAAATAGCCTATAAATATTTTTTTGCGGCTTGAAAATTAGCTTGAAAGACGATTTTTAAGGCTTTAGACTTGAAATCCGTATTCGTATATTTCTAAAAAGATTTTTTTATTTTTTTAATAAGCCCAAAGAAGTCTTTTCTTGACCTAAGTTGTTCAGGTCTGATGCACATAGCTCGTGGAAACAAGGAAACCCTCCAGAATTTCCTCGAGTGGCTGAGAGACCAAAGTTCCCCGAAACCAATGCGACACGGCGCCTGTCTTGGAGCCGCCGTTGCTCATCACGGACAGCAGAATGAAGAAGTAAAAATTGATAGAGAAGAAAAAAAAGCGTGTATAGGAACAAAAAGAGGCAAAAAATGTCAAACTTGAAATCTCACAAGGAAGATTTAAAAAAATAGCCGAGAAAAATGGCTTCTGCGCTCCACGGATAACCACTCCTATTTCCCAATTTTCCTTCAAAATTAATGGATCAAATCGCCAAAACAAGACTCTAACAACATTTTGGAACGAAAGAGATATTCAAGCTGAAAAAAATACTTGGAAAAAGACGATTTTCTAGCTTTTTTTCCCATTATTTTCTCATTTTTACCGAAAAAAATATAGTTAATTGGGTCGCAGGATTGTCAGAACTGGAGTTGGAACAATGTAGGGATACAAAAAAATGATTTTTTGATTTTTGAGCTTACATGGGCTAACAGGGTATCTTTATCACTTTCGTATTCCCCCTTTCATTCAGATGGCTTTTTTTAAGCAGCTGAAAATGTCTTCATATTATTTATGGAGCTTTTTTTCGATTATATTGAGTGATGATTTGAATGTATATCTATTATCCTCGCTCCGAGCGGTCGATAAATCCGTGGGAAATCGTAGGAATCGCGTCATAAAAAACTCCAAAAGTTATGGATCGATCCGAATTATGTGTTTGAAATGCTTCCAATGGATGGATTAGATGTGCTCACCAAACTTTAGGAGTTCGAAACATTTTTTTTAAAAAAGTCAATTTCTGAGCCCCAAAAAAAAAGATTTCTGAAAAGTCGGAGTTTCAAGTTATAAATTTCTACTTTTTCAAGGGGGAGTACGCGATGACGTTACAAAAAAATTGTTGGTTGGTCCATTTTTGGTTTTTTTGAGCAGATTACCATAGTTTTTTTCATATCATTCACTTCATGTTGAGTAATTTTCTCAAAAAATGTTTTGAAAAATGACTAGAATTTTTTTTCGTATACCCGTTGAGAATCCCGAAAAAAAAATCAACGCAAAAGAAAATTATCAAAAACCGTTGAAATGGGTCATTTTAAGGCTTCAAAACTCTTTCGTTTTCTTTAAAAGATGAACGGGTCTTTCTTGCAGCTCTACAGCCAAATGCGCGCCGAGCTGAGCTTGGACGACGCGTTGACCGGAGAGGCGGCCGGCATGGGAATCGGAATGATCTACGCCGGATCGATGAACCCGCCCATTTTCGAAGAACTCAAGGCGATTCTCAACGACACGCCCCACGACAAGATCCAGCGCGGAATTCGCTTCGGAATCGCCTGCTTGGCCTATGGTTCGACTTCCACTTTTTGGGCGTTTGAACTGCTTTTCTTAGAGTTTTTATTGAAAAAAGCGCGAAAAGGGAGATTTTATCAGTGGAAATATGAAATTTATTCAAAATTAAGAAGAGAAGAGTTTGAGATGATATTTTCATTGAAACATTAGAAGTTCTGGACTTCCTTTTTTCATAAGAAGCTCTGAATTTTGGCGTAAGTTTTTCGTTGATTTCCCATAAAATTTTTCCAGTCATTCCCTGTGGTATTTTTTTTATTGCGAAAAAGGTAGGCAACGAGTTTTTCTTTTTGAAAAAAATGCGCGAAAAAAAGAGATTTCTCATTGAAAAATTGAAAATATTTGACCAAAAAGTTCAAGTTGAGGTTTTCATTGTAAAAATTTAAGTTTTGAATTTTTTGTCCGGTTTTTAATCGAAGAATGCGCGGAGACCTTTCTCATTAAAAAGGTGAAAAACCTAATCTTTCTCGTATCGAAAAATTGCGAGAAGAATAAGTTAGACCGAAGATTTTCATTGGAATATTAGAAGTTTTGAAACTGATTTTCAGAGTTTTCATTCGAAAACACGCGAAAAAGAGGCTATTGATTAAAAACAGCCGTTTCAAGAGTTTCATGATTATTTGAATTGGGTTGAGCCTTTTCTGAGGAAAAAAAGTGAAAAATTTGATCGTAATTTGAGGCGCGAAGCATATGAATCTATTTTTGTAGAATCCGGATGCTCCAAAACGAAAAATTGTGGTTTCACACCATCTCTGTGAAAATGGAAATAAGACACACTTCCTAGTGAGAAGATTCATATTTGACCGTGATTTTAAGGAGTGAAACAGAACTGCGAGAAGTATGTGGCGGACCTGATCGGCAACAAGAGCAACCCGATGATGCGGGCCACCGGCGTCTCTGTCCTCTCCATGGCCTACGTCGGAACTGGAGATCCGGACGTCGTCAGGAGACTTCTTGAGAAGGTCTCGGAACGCGTCAAATGAACGAAATGAGGACTGAAGTCACATAGAAGCTCAGAAAGAGTTCCTGGAAAAAAATGGCCTTCCTTTATAGATTTTTTTAAAAATTAGAATCGAAAAAGTAAAGGAACTGGTTTCCACGCCACAGAATCGTTCTGTGAGCGGAATGAGCATTAATTTTTTTTTATTCGTAAATCAAAAAGATTTTAAAAGGTGTGGGAAAAGGAGAGTTGTAACAAGGGAGGTCTTTACACCTTCCCGCTTGAAAATCCCTTAAATATTGGCCGGAACACTCCCGCATGTACTCGAAGAACATTCTGGAAGTCTCAACCTGCATAAATTTCTAGTTTTCAGGAAATTAGGAATTTCTAGGAGTCCCTATAGGGCTTTGTTGCTTCAGGGTCTTCTAGAGGGAGCCCAATAACGGTTTTACATCTTCTTTAGAGACCACTGAGGAAATTTGGGCTCAAAGCCCGAAAAAAACCTCTTTCAACGATTCTTGAGCGTTTCCTTGAACTTGGAGGTGTTCTTTTTCAAAAACCAGGAAGTTGACCAGGAGTTTCGTCATTTTGTGCATCAAGGTGTGTCCTAGCCAGTTTTAGGAAATTCCCAACCGAATATAGAAGATTCTGAAAATATCAACTTGCAAAGTTTTCTAGTTTTTTGAAAAAGGTCACCTCAAAGTCATACAGAATCCGTTAAAATAGGCTAACTTGGAGCTGAGAGCCCTTATTTCTTGATTTTTTGCTGATTGAGACTTCCAGGACCTTCTTCTAGTACAACAAGGAGTTTTTGGACCAATTTTTTTCAAATGATGATCTTTCTTGTTAATCATAAAATGAATACACGTATACATGAAGAAGTATGTTTCAAATAAGCTATATTTAAAAAGGTTTACTTTCTTTTTTATTACGTGCTTTTCACTGTTTTCATTCTAATAATCCTAATAAACCGGTTTCGAAGCGTTTCGTTTCAACGAAAAAATACTTCTCAATTTGAGGTTTTTTGTCAGGAAACTTTTTCAAAAATCTTCGCTTATTCTATGGTGTTCAGAATGCCATGAAGGGAGGATTTTTGAGAGAATTTCCATTCAAAAGCGTTCTATTACATTTCTCAACAAACTAATCGTTCAATTTCCCTAAGAGCACCTTATAAGGATGGTCATTTCGATATACGGCTGAGAACTTCCCACAAAAAAGACCATAACACTCCTTTATGTACTAATAGAAGATTCTGAAAATCTCAACTTGCAAAATTTTCTAGTTTTTGAAAAAGGTCACCTCAAAGTCCAGCAAAGTCCGTTGAACTAGGCTAACTTGGAGCTGAGAGCCCTTATTTCTTGAAAACTAGGATATTTTGCAGATTGAGACTTCCAGGGTCTTCTTCTAGTACAAAAAGAAGTTTTTTTTGAACCAATTTTTCATGACCTTCCTTATTAATTAAAAAAAGAGTACACGTATACACGAAGAAGTAAGTTTCAAATAAGCTATATTCTAAAAAAATTACTTTCTTTTTTTATTAAACACTTTTTACCTTTTTGATTCTAATAATCCTAATAAACCAATTTCGAAGCGTTTCGCTTTTTTTTTTTTACATTTTTTTTTCTTTCAAGGTCGCCAGCGATCCGAACAACGATGTGAAACGACTGGCCGCCATGGGAATCGGATTCGTTTTGTGCCAGTTCGTAATTGAATTATTAAATCAAGAAAATGAACTCAATCGAAAAGTTTCGCCTTTTCTTGCTTGACTAAGGTATTTTTATAGACGAGTCTGATACCTCGGGCAAGGTTGGAATGGTGGAAAATAGCCGCTAAAAGGGAGAGGCTCGAAAAAGGCAGCAGAAAGGGTCCCTTTATGAAGCCTTTTTGTGGGAAGGCTCGAGAGATGGTGGAAAAAGGGAGAGGCAGCAAAAATGAGCCTTTTTCCACCCTTTCCGACTTTGCCTATGACTTCACTCGAACTTTTGGAAATTTTATTTAATTTGGCGTTTTTCCCAATTTTTTTTCAACTTTGAAAAACAAATTTTATATTTTTTGCAATATAACTGATTCACGGCCAGCTTGGGACGCTAGGGGGCGTCTGCGCTCTCCACGAGCCAGGCGCTGTCTCGTGCATTATCGTGTCAGGACCCTTTTTTCGATGGCTCAAGCCAGCCGTGAATCAGCTATATATCTTTGAAAAAAATGAGTGTTTCTGTCCCTTTACCCCTAAATTTCATTATTTTTGAGAAATTCTTTCATTTTTTTAGCGAGATTGAAGAGTGCATTTCGTACTGTTCGATGCTCGTTGAGCACTTCAACGGATTCGTCCGCTATGGCGCTGTGATGGCCCTCGCCATCGCCTGTGCTTCTACTGGAAATATGGTTTCTCAGTAGAGAATACATAAAATATTCCATTGTTCAGGACGCCATCACGGTTCTGGAGCCGGTCCTCTCGGACAAGGAAAACTACGTGAGAAGTGGGGCTTTCATCGCGACGGCGTTGATCATGGTCCAGCAGAACGAGTACACTTGCTCAAAGGTACAGGAACAAGTTTTGGTCGAGAAGCTGAAAAAAAATAGATTTTTAAATGATTTTTGAGCTTTTTTGAAATTTTCAGGGAATTTTTAAAAGGGTATCAAGCTTCTCCTAGGAATAAAAAAAAGAGAAAAAAAGTACGATTAAAAATAGTGGCAGACTGAGATGTAGACGCATTACAATCGACTCCTTGAACTGAACCTATCCTGAAATTTAGAGCGTCAACTTCCGGAAGCACATCCTGAGAAAAGTGACCGAGAAAGTGGAGGATCAGCTCGTCATTTTCGGCTCCTACGTTGCTCATGTTAGTTTTTCGGGACACCCATGAAAACGCGCATGTCGGCTATGTTTACAGTAGAAAGTGAAGCGCGCCCGACCCTTAGCGACTTTTGTTCTTCGGCTTAAGGATTCTGAGTTTTTGTCAATTTTGAGTCAGTTTCCGCTAATTCAGAGCGTTTTAACAGCAAAAATTGCGAGTTCAAATCCGATTTTTAGCGCGCGCGAGGCGTTCTCCGTGTGTTTTTGAGCCCTTTTGTATAAAATAATGACGATCTTACTGTGGTAGTGGATGCATGGAAGCGGAAGTAGTTTTCTGTCGTTTTTGGTCTTTTTTTCGAAATAGTGTCTGTTTTCTATACTCCACGAATTCGCGGGGCTTCATGGGCCAAATATTGAATATTTGCGTCCGACTTTTAGCGACTTGCGCACGAGTCGTTCTCCTTCGATTTTGAGCCATTTTGTATAAAATAATGACGATCTTACTGTGGTAGTGGATGCATGGAAGTGGAAGTAGTTTCTCGTCGGTTGAGATCTTTTTTTTTTAAATAGGGCGTTTTTTCTATACAATGGGATGCTATAGTGCACGAGTAGTTTTCTATCGCATTTGAACAGTTTTTTACAAAAAAAAGCGGTTTTATCGAGATTATAGATGCTAGAAAACGTAAGTAGTTTTTGGTCGGATTTCGGTCTTTTTGTGAAAAATCGTGCCATCTTCCCTTTGCTCAAAGATCATATAGCGCGAAAATTGCCCTCTGTCGGTTTTTCAGCCATTTTTTTTTACAGAATTAGCAGTTGGATTATAAATAATTCAGTACATTAGAGAAACCGACATTTTTCCAGGGAATCATGGACTTTGGCGGCAAGAACGCCTTCCTGTCGATCAAGAACCGCCACGGCGAGGTCGACTGCACGAGCACGATCGGATTCCTCGGGTTCCTGCACGGCTGGTACTGGCATTCGGCCTACAACTTCTTGGCGATGGCCGCCAAGCCCGCCTGCATCATCCTCATCAATCCCGACTTCAAGGTCTTCATTGCAGATGAGAAAAAGCTCCAAAATTATTGAAACTGGAAAGTCTTGCAAGGGCCACTTTTTGAAAGACTGTATTTAATGGAATTTTTTTAAAAAGAAACCTCCTAAAAAAATATTAGGTAGGGTTTATCGATCCATATTTCATTTTCAAGCTAGGATTTTATAAGAAAAAGAATAATCTTCTTCAACATTTTTGCTCTTTCCTTAGGCAATCTAATACGGAAGAAATAAATCTTCCAGATGCCGCTCATCAACCTCTACTGCAGCGCCAGGGCTGTCCTGTTTGGCTACCCGCCAATGGCCGAAGTCAAGAAGGAAAGAGAGGCGAAACGTATCGAGGCGGCCGTTCTCTCGGTCACCGGAAAACGGACCCTCAGAAGGGACGCCCGCAAACGGCTCGTCATGTACGACGAGGCGCCCGAGAAGGTCGACCTCAGCGCGAAGATCGAGAAGTTCGTCGGGGGATTGGGAGGGAGAAGCATAGCAAAGCTTTAAAAAAGGGGAAATCTTTTTTTCCATTCCTTTGAAGGAGGTCAACTCCAGCGAGAAGATGGAGCAGTTCGCCTGGAGATTGGGAGTAGGAACACATTCAAAAAAAGACAACTGAAGAACAGTAGAAAGTTCTGTATTTTTCTTCGTGTTTTGAAAGTAAATTTAGGATTACGTTGTCAATAGTTTGTTTGAAAAATAAGAAAAGTTTGCTAATTTATCAATTTTTGGATACGTATAAGATGGAAAATTAGAAAAAGTCAGCAAGTTTGAAAATCAGGGGATGAGACTCCTGGGATTTTTCCTGAGATTTTCTGAGAAATAGACCTTTTTGAAGTTTTTTGAAGGTTAAAAATGGCCTAGAAATAGAAAATATAAAAACACGAGAATCTTCTTTTGAAGGAAGTCACCGGCGCTGGTGGACCCCCGATCCTGGTCGATGGTCCAAAATCCGGCCCGTGTCGCCCCGGCGCTCGTCCAATACGTTCAGATGACCGTGGATTTCGAGTTAGACCTTTTTAATTTTATTTGTTGTGCATTAATTTCCATACTCGGTGTTCACTGTTGGCTTTTGGTAAGAAATGGCCCGTTTTCCCCTTGGATTTTTCAGTTTTATCCCTTTGAACTGGTTAGTGCTTCATGTGGGTACGGCTGGATTTATTTTAAAGTCGAAAAGGTAATCAGATTCCAGGTTTTTCGAAAAGTATTTTTCAATTTCCGTTGAAAGAATGCCATTTTTTTCAAAAATCAGACTTTGAGAACAAGCTTGAAAGTCTAGAAATAGAAAAGAAACTGTGTTAGCGACTAGATTATAATATTTATAACGAATTCAAGAGAAAGTATCGATTTTTCATAATTTTAATGCATTTTTTGATATTTTTTTCCTGTAAACTTGTCAAAATTATACGTAGACTTTTTTTTTTGATTACAGAGATATCAGGTTTACGGAGAGCGTCTGTGAAGACAGGTTGAAGCTAAAATTGCAATGGAGATCACATTTAATGTGAGTCCAATCACTTAGGAAAAATATCCATTTTCCTTGTAATTGTCTAGTAAAAAAAAGGTCAAAAAAATGCCTTTTTCCACTGATTTTAGCCACTGAAAAAAAAGCCAACGGTAAATAGAGTACTCAATCTTATCTTCATGCAAACTGTTGACTTGATTTCGAAATTCCCGATATTCAGGTACAAACTGCAGCGATCTATCGTCCCTGGCGGAATCATCATCGCCGTGAAAGATCCCAAGAGCACTTGTGGCGACACTTTTATCAATGATGTGGGTTCGAAAAGAGTGGAAAAAACGGGGTTTTTGAAGAAATTTTGACTGAGAATTGGAACTTTCGACGAGATTTTGAAGAAAATAAGGTTTTTTCAAAGAAGTCAAATGTTATGAAAAATTTTTGGAAGAATATGGTGGAATTTTAAAGTTTTGCAGTCAAAAATACTAGGATTTTTCTGCGAAAAAAAGGCAGAAAAATGGGCTAAATTTCAAAAAAAGCTGGGTCCTGGCACGAATGGCGAGATAGTGTGACTAGAAGAGAGGTTGCTAGAGTGTACTAAAGTTTTCGAAACATGAAAGTATGGGAATAATCAATTTTTCGAACTTGAGACTTCAAAAAGGAATGTTTTTGGATACGAAAACTGACAAAAAAATTATATTTTTTCAGAAATTTACTGTAGGCCTCATTTCTGTTGTTTGTGACGTGTATGCACAATTTACATTTAATTCGACGGCAAAGTTGACGTTTATCTCAAGTTTGTTACAAATTTTCTCGAAACAGGGGTTTCCAAGCATAGAGCCGAGTGATAACTCTAGGGTGCTTAAGGCGTCTCAGAGAAACACTAAATTAGATGATTTTCCTTGCTTGGAAGTAGCTTCAAAATGATAAAAACCAGGAATTTCTTGAAAAGAAGCTATTTTTAATGCTTTCAGGTTCTATTGCTCAATTTTGATACACTATTTTTGCAAAAAAAAAATAATTTCAGATCGAGCCGACGCAGCCCGAGAAGCGGACCATTGAGCCGTTGCCCCACTCGACCTTCGAAATCGACCTGTCCGATTTCGCTTAATTTTGATGTGTCATATCATTTTTTTCGTTTCGTTTTTGTAAATGTGTATGTGATGGAAAAGAGCTCTACAGCTTGAATATTACTTGCGGATTTTCTCCTGGTCTCGTTTTAGTGTGCTTTCTCGTGAGTAAATGACTTGATTGGAAATGTTTTTCTTTTTGATTATTTTGGAAGGCCTTGAGAGTTTGCGTAAGCGTGGGTTGTATCCCAGTTTTCTACCTGTGAAGAAAAAGTTCGGACGGCTTCTGAGCGAGAATCTATGGGTCTTGAAGCGAAATTTGAGTACCTAGCTACTCTATTCCCATTATTTGATTGAATAGCATCTTTCTGATGGCTCTTTTTGAGCCCCTCAAATTAAATTTCCTGAAATATAGCTGATTCACGGCTGGCTTGAGCCATCGAGAAAAGGGTCCTGCCACGAAAAGAGACGAGACAGTGCCCAGTTGGTGGAGAGTGCAGACAGGCCACGCCTTTTTGCGTCCCAAGCTAGCCGTGAATCGTCCATAATTCACTGTAAATTTGTGTTCAGAAGAAATTAATGTATTAAATTTGTAAGGCGCCTTTCAAAAAAATTGGATTAATGAAAAATCTGTTCAGCCCATCCGGTTTGGCACTCTAGGTTTCAATTTTACATACAGCAATTGCGGTTTTTTTGGGCGATATCTTCGTTAATAACGAAAAAAATGAAAAAAATTCGAAGAAAAACACAATGAGAAAAATTCAAAGATACAAATCAAGTTTTAAAAAAATAGAGTTTTTGCAAACGCCAGCAAGCCTTAACAAATTGATTGTAGTTAAAATCGGACTCCAACCAAAAAGGATCATACGCCGAAATTTTTGACCTCTACCGTAATTTCTGACCGAGTGCGGTCGCGCCAAAACGATCGTCATCATTTTTTTGCCGTCATCCGATCGATTTCTCCTATTTTTATGTACTTTTTTTGTATAATATGATGTAATTTGTGCTTTTTTTAAACTTTGTAATACACTTTAAATAGCTTAAAATCAATATTTAAAGGAATTTATGATGAAACAAACGTTATTTTGAAATGTTGATTCAATAAATTGATGTTTTCATGATATTTCTCACTTAATTCGCGTTTTTTTGTCATTTCTTGTATTCAAAAATCGTTTTTCCAGGAATTCCACGAGGATTCCATCGCGGAATTACAGAACGGAGCAAGAAAGCAACTGTCAGAAGCGAACTCGAAGAGAATAATGCTTAATGGAACGGTTTCGAGCTGATTTGGAACTTCTTTTTCTCTAAAATGTTGCTTTCTTGCTCAGTTTTGTCAGCCCATCGACTTTGAAAAATGAAAGGTGATTTTTTTTAATTGTCATTTTTTGTGGCGCTCGGACAATGGCGAAATTATATATTTGAGCTTTTAAAAACTCATGACGTTTCTCGTTCAAGGTTTTTGAAGGAATTTGCGAGTCTCCGAGCGTTGAATTTCTTGATAACTTGTAGCATATTGTCTAGTTTTTTTACTTTTTTCAGAAATCAAGCACGGCGAAACGAAAAAAAGTCGGTCATCTACTCTCTTCTTCTGACGCCATCTTCGTTCGGAGGATGGAACTTGGACGTGTTAATTGGATCTCTTCAGGTGATTTTGAAAGTAAGAGACTACATTAATGGTTTTGAAAGTTCGAAAACGACATTGAAACATCTAAAACGTAGATGGTGAGCCTTTACAACTGTTTCCTGATTTGATTGGAAAGACGGCTTGAACTTAGAACGATTTTCGCTGAGATCAGTTGATGACAGGAAAAGCTCGCTATTTCCTTGTTTTTGATGTGAATTTTTGTTTCGTTTTGATAAGATTTCGAAGATGTTCTATTTTAAGAGGGCAATACCTTTTTTTCAGTGTGTTAGTTTTATCATGTTCTCACATCAGGACGTGAATTTTAGCTTTTCCTTTTGACTCGAAGTTTGTGCCTCGTTCAGAGTGATTCCGTGGTTTCCACTCGGCAAACTTGTGAAATAGCGATATTTTGCAAGGTTTTCCGAGTGGAAGTCGCGGAGTCACTCATCACTTCGAGGCATCACTTCGAGGCCAAACTTGTAGTTTCTCCAAAAAAAGAAAGTTTTCGGGGTGTACGAGCCCCTTTGCCACCAACGAACATAAATTCTTGAAGAAGCGCGCCAGGAAACGGACGCCACCAGATCGATCGTTGGTGACGTCCACACCCGGCGCTGTACTCCAAGAGTCTCTGCAAGTTGGGAGGCAAATGCTTGGCTGGGATTCGAACCCGAGTCCCCAGATCGAGGGACGAGTTGCCTCGCCACTCTACCAAGCCCGCACGATCGTTCCACTTGTCTCGGCGCCCCATACCGCCGCTGGTCCCGAGTGGCCGAGTGTCGGCTTGGGTCGAGAGGCGCCGTTTGACCCCCCGACTGTAGTTTGACCCGCGGCGCCAAAACATTGCGTCATCCTTCCCTGGCCTTCTAGAACTTCTTCTTGCGTCATTCTTTTTTCATTTTTTTAATGTTTTTTTAAATTATTCCAACTAAAGATCAAGCTTTTTTTAGTTGTATGGGAGTATAGTTTAGGATAATTTCAAGCTTCTTTCATGATTATATTCATTATTCAGTATTAAATGATTAGAAATTATTGACTTTTATGACTTTTTTTCGATCAGTTTTGAATTAAAAAGACGTTTGAAGCTTGCATAATTATAGTGATAGTGTACATGAACGTGTGTTTCAAGTCAATGCTCATCTTCTGTATTTCTAACCGTGTTGTATTCTTTAAGAAAGTTTCTTTGTACTTTGTTTTTGTCATCAAAAGATTTTCAATTTTCAGGCGGTTCTGGAAGGTTCTGACGACGTGGAGGCAATCCGGGATCCTGAAGAAGTCCAACAAATATTAATCTTAAAGGTTTCCAATTTAAACGAAAGTTCAATGGATGTATTTATTTTCATGTTCCGTCGGGCATCTCTCAATCCGGCTCGTCGTATGAGAAGATGAGTTATTCTTTTCATCTAAGCGCAATAATTTTGAAATTTATAGATTATCAGAGTGAAAGCGGAGTGGATGGAATTGGATTGTGAGGAGATCAAGCGATTCGAAAAAAATGAATTCAAAAGGAAAGTCATTGGAACACCTTAAAGAATTCCTTGCCGTTAATATATTGCGGTATATTTTATTTTTTTGTAATCTTAGTTTAGAAGGAGAGTATATGACAGAATTGCATCGATTTTTCGAAATTTTGAGAAAAAACTCCTTGAACTTTTCGGGAACAAAGAATCTTGAGTTGGACGTTGTTCAGGGTGCGCAGAAATCCATTTTCCCTTTTTTTCGATTCGTATTTTTCTTGATTTTATGTAACTTCAAAAACGCTTCAGGAACTTTTGCACACTTGACAGATCTCATGTCGTGTCGTTCCAATCGCTTTTTAATCAACTGAGAAGAAAAAAAAATCGACATTTTATGATACTGTTCCTGAAGCGCAAAGTCCCAGCAATCTTGTCATATACTCTCGATCGCCCATTTTAGAACTAAGTTAGATTTTTGAGTTCCAGAACTAATCTTTTAATTCAGGAAACGAAGACGCGGTCACGCTGCTTTGATCCTCTTCCAGTCATAATTTCTCCTTTCCAATAAAGTTTTCCTTGAATCTACCGAAGTTAACATGGGATGATGACCGCAGCGCGACCGCGTCGTAGGGCCTTATGACTTTTAGGAATTAGTGGAATAAGGACTCTTTTCAGGTGAAGTAGGATTTTCCTGTTGAAAAGTAATAGTTCACCCCGTATTTCATTTTATTTGAAGTGAGGGTTCATGCTTCTCAAACTGGCTGGGATAATCGATGACGTGCTAGAAGATTCGGAAGTCCCATGGATGAAAGAAGTAGAAATATCGTTCAAAGCGTGCTTCAGGTCTTGTTCTTCTGAGATTTCCAAGCTTACATTTCGTTCAAAAAGGGTGAGCTTCTTCTTGACTTCGGTCAGAAAGAAGAAAGGGGGCTTCCTTCCGGCTCTTTGGCTTCGTGTCCATACATGGGCTAACCAACTACTTTTTGTGACGTCATCACGTACCCCCTTGAAAAAAAGTACGTACTCCCCTCGAAAAAGTACGTACCCCCGCGGAAAACTATCAATGTGAAATGATTATTAAAGTTAATATAAAAAAATTGAATGAGACTATTATCTTGTTTCGCGGGCTTTTGGAAGTATATTATTTTTTTCAACTCATCCTCACGGCGTTAACATACAGTGAAAGCGGAGCGTAAATTTTGCCACCATGCGTCGCGGTCGGGAACCACTGTAACTTGGTCAAAAAACGTCCGGAGGCTTGGAAATTCGGAGCATATACCCATATTAGGGTAGACTCAAGGTTAATAATGTTTTTGAGCCAAAAAATTCAAAATTTCAAAATATCCCTTTCCGGTGGCCCAAAAATCTATTTTCCTTAAAACTCATCCCAACGGCCTGAAACTTGGCCAGATCATAAAACTCACTTTATAATGTGGAATAACATTGAAAAACAGATCGATTTTCGGATTTTGGGGGAGTACGGGGGGGTACGCAAACCGTCAAGTGATAACGCTTTGAAACACTCTAACTTGGTCAAAAAACGTCCGGAAGCCTGGAAACTTGAAGCATATACCTTATTTAGGGTTAACTCAAAGTTGATAACGATTTTGAGCCAAAAAATTGTAGATTTCCAGAAATCATTTTCTTATGGGGTCAGAAGTTGATTATTTTTTTAAATTTTCCAAACGGCTTAAAATTTGGTGAGCATGTATGTATCATCCATTGGTACCATTTAAACTAGAATTCAGGTCGATTTATCAGCTCTGGAATTTTTCATAAGGCTATTTCTACAATTCCCCGCGATTTTATCAACCGTTCGGAGCTAGGCAAAAAGATAGGCAACGAATTTCCTACTAAATGTACTTTGAAAAGCTCGATAAATAATATGGATGCATTTTCCGCGGCTTAGAAAGCCATCTGAATGAATAGGGGGGCCCGAAAGTGAAAAACAGCCTGTTAGCCCACGTATGTTCGTGGGCTAACAGAGCATGACCTCGGTCACTCTTTCCGGAGGGGAGATCTCAGCCGCTCGGAACCTCTGAGTGGCACTTCGGTCCAACCAAGGAGACTGGTGCACTGTCCCACCCCTCCGTGCTCCTGTACCCAGTCAGTCTCTCTGACTTCGATTTTATGCGAATCAACTGCTTGGAATCTCGGAAGAGCCAGACTTTTACATGGCTTTGCACGGTATTTCTAAGACACTTTCAATATATTGATTGGTCTAGTAAATCCTCCACGTGCCAAAAACTTGCCTTTTTGCGCTTTTCATGACAATCTTTCTTTTAGTTTCTTGGCTTTCTTGTCCTTTTCATGAGTCAAAATCCAACATTGGCCCACCAATGAACATATTGATTGGTCTAGTAAGTCCTCCAGGAGCCATAACCTTCCTTCATCCGTGATCTTTCAAGTACCATTTTCTTATCTTTTTAGATGTCTTTATCTTCTCTCATCTCCAAAGAGCTTTTCTCACTTCGGTCAGAAAAAGAAGGCTTGCACCTTCCCGGAAGAGAGTTCTCAGCCACTTGGACTCCAACTCCAAGTGGCAACTTCGGTCTAACCAAGGAGACTGGCGATTTTCCCACTCTTCCGTGCTCCAAGTACACTAGCTTGACTTGTCAGGCTTCAAACTTGATGGAGATGACCAGAACATCAGAGAGTATCTCAGCTAATTAGGAGAAGACTTCATTGCATGACTTGTGTGAGAACAGAACATATAGTAAGTGAGAAGACTTTATTGAGAGGCATAGAAAAGAGATCATGATTGACAGACTGAATGTGAAGAAGTAGAAGAACTTGAAATCTGAAAATGCTGTATTAACATTTCAATTTGAAAAGCAAAATTTTTGTGTATTTATTGCTGTCTGAATAAAGAGATTACACTGTTATATTGCACAAGAAGTGATTAATTTGAATTGAAAGATTGCTGTATTAAAACTTGCAATTCTAAATACTTGCAGTTTGAAAAGAAAGAAAGAAATTCAGTATTGTTATTGCAGTTCTAATTGAAAAATGCTGCTTTAATATTGCAATTTGAATGTAAAAATTGTTGTTTTTAATATTGCTTGAATTTTGAACAGGAAAAATGTAATTTGAATATATTGCAAATTTTTGAACTTGCAATTTGAATATAGAAATTCAGTATTGTTATTGCAATTTGAGTAGAAAACGTGCTGTATTAATATTGCAGTTCTAATTGAAAAAAATTCAGTATTGTTATTGCAATTTGAATAGAAAAAAATGCTATTTAAATATTGCAATTTTAAAAAGAAAAAAATGCTATTTAAATATTGCAATTTGAATAAAAATGCTGTTTTTAAACTTGCAATTTGAATATAGAAATGCTATTTTAATATTGCAATTTCAAAAAGAAAAAAATGCTGCTTTAATATTGCAATTTCAATGCTATTTTTAATATAGCATTTGCCCATTTTTTCAGACAGAAACTTTGGATTCTCCCAGTGAAAGGCCCAAAGTGGGGCCTCTGAATCATCTTCTGCCTGTCTGTGATGAGATCGGCTGGGAGAACCTGACCGGACTCGACTTTTGCAAGTCTCTATGAGCACTCTCTCATCAGAATGGTGCGGCCTCCATTGAGCACAGCTCAATGTTCAGATACAACTCTTTGGACCATTCGGAGCAAAAAACAAAGAAGGCATTCGTCAAATATTTCAATCAACTGCCTTTAATTTATAATAAATATTCCACTCTCTAAATTTTCATGTTACAACAAGAAGTTTGAAACTACAGTCAAAGTAGTAAACAGTTGCATTCGTTTTGGCCCCTGTAGAAATTACTACACTAATCAATGTGCATTGGTGCGCTAATGCTAGACTTTTGGCTCTTGGAGGAGGATTTACTGAATCACTCGATCACCAAAAGTGATTTGCATGGGCGCATCAATGCAAGTCTCCTGGAGAATTTACTAGACCAATCGATATACAAAAGAGTTCATCAAATATCGTGCAAAGTCATGTAAGTCCAGTTCTTCCGAGATTCCAAGCATTTGCATAAAATCGAAGTCAGGGACACTGACGAGGTACGGGAGCACGGAGGAGTGGGACAGGGCACCAGTCTCCTTGGTTGGACCGAAGTGCCACTCAGAGGTTCCGAGTGGCTGAGATCTCCCCTCCGGAAAGAGTGACCGAGGTCATGCTCGACACGAATATCCCAGTGTCAAAGAGCCGGCTAGAAGCCCCCTTTCTTCTTTCTGACCGAAGTCAAGAAGAAGCTCACCCTTTTTAAATGAAATGTAAGCTTGGAAATCTCAGAAGAACAAGACCTGAAGCACGCTTTGCACGATGTTTCCACTTTGGCCGCAGCGGTTATCGATTCGTTACTGCCAATCCCACTAGGAAAGTTTTGATTTTCGGCAAATTATAGTGAGAAAATGGATTAACCGAAATTCATCCGCCTCGTGCAAGCATTTCCTACTTTTTATGCCTAATTTCTATCACAAACTATCCTAGCTTATTTTTCTAAAAATTCCTTAAAAGTGAAATGGGTTTTGCAAATGACAAAAAGCTACGGACAGAAACGACCACAAAAAGTTACACAATTGGAAGTAATTTATTTGTGAACAAAAATTCGAGAAAAAAATTAAATTTTTAAAAGAAGCAGCTCCTTGTGGCTGTTTTTGTCCGAATGGCATGGAGCTATTCTGAAAATTCAAGCAAATGAAAATTGAAAAATTATTTTTTTTTGTCATATACCCTCGAAATTAAACTAACAAAATGATGCAGCCGAGTTCGAGAAGACATAACTGAGCATAAAATATCAGATTTAACGTTTTTCAAGTCAGTCTCAATCCTTGTCAAGTCGGCAACTATTCCAAGTTCTCAACCGATTCTGACATTTCTCGTCTTATGCCCAGTTCTGTCCCTCCACCACAATATAAGGCGAATTTCGTAAAAATTGAATCTAAATACATAGTTTAAACAATTCAAAAACTCATCTGCGCAAAGAACTGGGCCAGTTGGCAAAAGTCAGGAGCTGCCAGAAATAAATCTTTGAAATCGCCCAGTTTATCATTTTCATTTCATCTCAATCCTGACTTCTGATTCCTTGCCAGTTCTGTGATTCGAAGGAGACGACTGCCAAGTTTTCTGAAAAATTAAAATTGAGAAAACGCACAAAATTTTAAAAAACTCACCTTTTTTTGACTCGGCATTGATTCAGATCCAGTTACGGTTTTTACGGTTGTGACGATTTCTTGGAGTTGATGAGAAGACAGACTGATTGTTCTTGAAGAAGCCCCGCCAAAGATTCCCAGCCATCTGGAACTAAAAAAACATTAGTTCAAAATATTCACGGGGCAGAAGTTATACATGTGGAAGAGAGACATGCGATTATATAAAAAAGTTGAAGGTTGAAACATGAAATAATTACCCAAAAAACAATGAGCAAACTTTAGGATCAGCAACTGTCGTCATTCACGATGCTTTCTGTGTAAGTGTGTGATGTTTGTTGAATGCGGAGAGAAAACTTACGGTAATCAACCATTTTGGAAAAAATTCCATTTTGTAAAAAAAAAATCTATAACAGTAATAAGAAAAATAAAAGTTAACATATTAATGACAAAATCAAGTAAAATCCTGAAGAAGCTTCAATTGAATTGACAGCAATGAAAATCGATTGTAATATGAAAAGAATGACGCAAAACCATTTAGCACTGAAGAATGATGGGAGAATCTTGAAATAATCCTAAACTATACTTCCATACAACTAAAAAAAGCTTGATCTTTAGTTGAAATAATTAAAAAAACATTAAAAAAATGAAAAAGAATGACGCAAGAAGAAGTTCTAGAATTGACTTGAAACACACTATCATGTACACTATCACTATAATTATGCAAGCTTCAAACGTCTTTTAATTCAAAACTGATCGAAAAAGTCATAAAAGTCAATAATTTCTAATCATTTAATACTGAATAATGAATATAATCATGAAAGAAGCTTGAAATTATCCTAAACTATACTCCCATACAACTAAAAAGCTTGATCTTTAGTTGGAATAATTTAAAAAACATTAAAAATGAAAAAGAATGACGCAAGAAGAAGTTCTAGAAGGCCAGGGAAGGATGACGCAATGTTTTGGCGCCGCGGGTCAAACTACAGTCGGGGGGTCAAACGGCGCCTCTCGACCCAAGCCGACACTCGGCCACTCGGGACCAGCGGCGGTATGGGGCGCCGAGACAAGTGGAACGATCGTGCGGGCTTGGTAGAGTGGCGAGGCAACTCGTCCCTCGATCTGGGGACTCGGGTTCGAATCCCAGCCAAGCATTTGCCTCCCAACTTGCAGAGACTCTTGGAGTACAGCGCCGGGTGTGGACGTCACCAACGATCGATCTGGTGGCGTCCGTTTCCTGGCGCGCTTCTTCAAGAATTTATGTTCGTTGGTGGCAAAGGGGCTCGTACACCCCGAAAACTTTCTTTTTTTCGAGCAACTACAAGTTTGCCTCGAAGTGATGCCTCGTTCAGAGTGACTTCGCGACTTCCACTCGGGAAACCCTGCAAAATGTCGCTATTTCACAAGTTTGCCGAGTGGAAACCACGAAATCACACTGAACGAGGCACAAACTTTGAGTCAAGAGGAAAAGCTAAAACGTCCTGATGTAAGAGCATGATAAAACGAACACACTGAAAAAAAGGTATTGCCCTCTTAAAATAGAACATCTTCGAAATCTTATCAAAACGAAACAAAAATTCACATCAAAAACAAGGAAATAGCGAGCTTTTCCTGTCATCAACTGATCTCAGCGAAAATCGTTCTAAGTTCAAGCCGTCTTTCCAATCAAATCAGGAAACAGTTGTAAAGGCTCACCATCTACGTTTTAGATGTTTCAATGTCGTTTTCGAACTTTCAAAACCATTAATGTAGTCTCTTACTTTCAAAATCACCTGAAGAGATCCAATTAACACGTCCAAGTTCCATCCTCCGAACGAAGATGGCGTCAGAAGAAGAGAGTAGATGACCGACTTTTTCGTTTCGCCGTGCTTGATTTCTGAAAAGTAAAAACTAGACAATATGCTACAAGTTATCAAGAAATTCAACGCTCGGAGACTCGCAAATTCCTTCAAAACCTTGAACGAGAAACGTCATGAGTTTTTAAAGCTCAAATATATAATTTCGCCATTGTCCGAGCGCCACAAAAAATGACAATTAAAAAAAATCACCTTTCATTTTTCAAAGTCGATGGGCTGACAAAACTGAGCAAGAAAGCAACATTTTAGAGAAAAAGAAGTCCCAAATTAGCTCGAAATCGTTCCATTAAGCATCATTCTCTTCTTTTTCGCTTCTGACAGTTGCTTTCTTGCCCAGTTCTGTGATTCCGCGGTGGAATCCTCGTGGAAGTCCTGGAAAACGATTTTGAATACAAAAAATGACAAAAAAAACGCGAATAAACCGAGAAATTTCAAGAAAACATCAATTTAGTGAATCAACATTTCAAAATAACTTTTTTTCATCATAAAACCCTTTAAATTTGGATTTCAGGCAATTAAAAGTGTATTACAGAGTTTAAAAAGCACAAATTGCATCATATTGTACAAAAAAAAGTACAAAAAGTCGAAGAAATCGATCGGATGACGGCAAAAATGATGACAATCGTTTTGGCGCGACCGCACTCGGTCAGAAATTACGGTAGAGGTCAAAAATTTCGGCGTATTATTGAGTCTATTTTTTCTTATTTTTTTTCAAAGTGTTTTGCAAACATAGTTCCACACGTTTCAAAAGGTTTCTATGGATCCATAACATAATTCCGGCTGGCAAGAATTAAAATTAAGAAATATCGGGAAAAAAAACCCCAAAAGAAACACTTTCCCATTTTTCTAGTTAGTACACCACGGCGTTCTTGTCAGTGAAAGAAAATGCAGAAAAAAAATACCAGGGGCGGGCGCCGTAAATCGTACGGCAGCAGTAGTTTTGATCTGTTCAGGACCCGTTTTTGGATTACAATACCCACCCTTTAAAGCTCTCGCAAGATTTACGGAAAGAGTTAGTTGAAAAAGCATTTTTGCTTTTTTTCTTTATTAATACTTCTTTTAACGTTTTTTTCTACAAGTACAAGTTATTATCCAGTTCCTTTGGCGTAGTTTTGAAACCAGTTTCGTGTAAATTAGAGCCAAATTGAATTTACTGATGCAGTTTGAAGATTTTTGTTATATGAATCATCTAAATTATATTTTTCCAGTTGTTTCATGGTTTTTCGGATTTAAACAAACATTTCGCCATACGAGGTTTTTTTTCTGAAAATTTCTGCTTCCTATCCATTATTTGTTTCTCTGAAGCTAGGTTTTCGAGGTATATAAAATGTTTCTTTTTCATTTGCTCCTCGAATTTTTCCTCATTTCAATATTTTTTCGTATTTACAATTGCTTATTCAATGAGAGCTGATTCACCTTCATAATATTTTTTTGTTTTTCATTTTGTAATCAGTAATTTAGAGTTTTTCCCCTTCCGAAATCGTTCCTAAATTTTTAACGCAAGTGAATGTTTTTCACATCATAATCTTCAAACTGACCAGATTTCGAACATTTCAGAAGTTATTATCCTAAAATTGCAAATTCTAAAATTGAAAAACAATTTTTGAGTATGCGATAGTGCGTCTCGGTGTGCTTACACCCTAAACATCATAATTTACGAGAAGTCTTGACCTTGCGTAATAAAAAAAACGCCGTGACACGGTGTTTCTTTTGCGACGCCCCGCCCACTTTTCTCCGTCAATTAGGACGTGTTTAGTGCATGCACAAAAAATTTGGAAAACAAGGTTAACCGATGATATAAGTGTGAGAAACGAATGAACATTGAAGAAAAAAGACGAGGAAATTAAAAGAGATTAAATAAAACTATATTGCTGTGGAGAAACAAATAAAAGATGTTTTACAGCAAGTACTTTTTATTATAAAAAGTTGACGGAATATCCGGATATAAATGAATTCCGGAACATACTTTCTCAACTTCACAGACTTTTTTCATGTAACTTCATCTCATTGATGTCCACAACCTAGGAATCTGAACAATCGACAAAAATAGAATAAGAAAACATAAAATGGGGTGAAACATGTTCCATACAAACAGGTGGAGATTTTCAAAACGCTTCTTCATCACGAGTTTTAAAGTTAGCCTCACAGAACTACTTTCAAAAAACGTCTAACAACCCAGAGTATACCCCGATCGTGGTCCCGCAATACTATCAGCAATCTACGAAAAGAAAAAGTGAAAAAATATGAAAAAATAGACAAAAAATCAAAAATAAAGCCACTTTTTCAAATTTCGCGGGCGAATTTCGAGAAGTGCGCAGACTTTGCCGAGTTTCAAATTCCTTGCATTTTCTTCAACTGGCAGAAACGCCGTGAGTATTTATTACAAAAATTAAAAATCGCATGAATTCTAATAGTAGGCGCTGCAAGCAGATACGATCGAAAAGCAAAAGAAAGGATCATTTTTGTTTTTCGAAGCCAGGGACGACACCCAGAAGGTATCCGGCGAGGACGGTCACCAAGACGGAAATCGAGATCAGGACCAGTAGGCCCGAGAAAACGGCCATGCACGCCGCGCAGGCCTGAAAAACTGACGTCTCCCGATTTTTGATCAACTTCAGGTTCTAGTTACGCTGGGCCGTGCTGCGCGATCCGAATCTTCGTCTTCTTCCGACGTTTGCTGGAACGTTCAAAAATTGATTTTATTGAAGAAAAGGTTATGCGAAGTAACCGGCTTTTCACGATTCTCCGAGCTAGAAAATATTCATTTTTTTTTTCGCTTTTCAAGGAGAATACTATAACCTCAAGAAGACATTTCCTAGCCTTTGAAATCAATTTTTAAAAAGCCGTTTATAAAATAATCATAGCTTTCTCGAAATTATACAATAGAATTCTGACTAAAAATGAAAAAATAATCAAGTTCATAGCCCATTCTGCGTCCCTTTCTCGATGAGCGCGGCCTTCTTCTCATGCGCCTTTAATTAAGCCAAAAATTTCCGTTGTTTTAAAGGCGTAGACACACAGGAAGGCCATGCGTGTCAAAAGGAAGCTTTCCGGAAGGATACTGTAGCTCGGAGGGAATCAAAAACCGTGACAAGCTGGTGTGGAACAGCTATATTAACATTTCTCGGACCACGGTAACGAGAACCGGAGGTTTCTGAGCGATTCTAGGGATCACTTAAGGGTTCTGATGCCTATAAGTATTCACTAGGAATGCTCAGAAACGTCCGGAGCACGTCCGTTTCGCATTACCGGGGTCCGAGTAAGGATAAAAGTCAATATCAGCTTTTTTCTTCGATCAAAAATTACCTCCGGAGGACTTTTTGGCCTCCTACTCGATCCTTCTGACTTTTTCGCTGTCCCCATTTGATGGTCTGGAAAATGACGCTTCAGAAAAAAATTCTTTATTTGAGTTCTAATTTTTTTCGAACCAAGATAAGAATTTCACAAGATCAAAAAGACAATTTGTAAATTTTATCTTTGAAAAAGAGAAAAATCTTACGTTTTTTTGTTTTTTTCTTCTTCTTTTAACGCTACATGTTCTCACTTTTCTTCTGGTTGCTGGCTGAAATTATAAAAATTGAGTATTTCTTGAATCGCAAAGCTGAAAATTTTTTCTATTCCGAATTTTACGCTAGCTAAACTACAGGAAAAAGCTTCCAATGAAGCTTTATTGCTTTTTAACCAAAAAAGGATTTTTATTAAGGTCCCGAAGCAAATATGTTTCGAATTTCCAATTTCAAACGGTTTTAATAAAGCAAGCCTCAAAAAAAGTTCTAAAAACATTTGAAAAAAATCCAGTTTCTGACACGAAAAACCTTAATTACTCAGGCAACAAAAGCTTCCTGAGCCATTAAGAAATTACAAAAAGTTGCTATGGAAATCTAATAAATGTTAAAAAACCCTTTTGCTCCCACGAGGCTCTGGTTCATAGTAAGTCAACATGAAAAAACAAAAGGAGGTAAAAATGGAACATTTTCACGCATTTTTACTTTTTCGAAATCCATTTCTCAAGTTCAAGAATACTTTCAAGCATAACGAGATACATTATAAATGCTCTAAAACGAAAAAAAAAAAATTCATTTAAAGCATTACAGAAAGATGTTCAACGAACCTTCGAATTCTGACATTTCATTTAAAATTCAAGCAGTTCAACCTAATAAATCGTTCAAAAAGTATGAAAATATATATTATTCAACTGAAAAACAGCTTTTCACGATTGCTCAAAGACACAAGACTCGTTCTCCTAAAAATATCATAATTTTCAATCCCTTCCCTGAACCTTTAAAAATCAAAGCAAGGTTTTACGAATGAACATCAAAAATTTATAATAAACCCTAAACCTTTTTATTAAATACAAAACTTGCCGTTTATTTTCCTTTTAGAACTTTTAAAACCAATTATCTCGAAAATGCAGTATCCATCGGTCTTTCGTCCATGATCCAAGGTTCGATTATTCTGAAATATACAACAATGAGAAGAAAAAAAGTGAACTTTTTGAAGGAAACTTCTATTGCCAAAAACAATTTTAAACTGTACTTGAACTTTTTTTCGAGAATTTTTATATTATCATAAAGCGCTGAAACTCAAAAACAAAAAAACTGGCAGGAACCTTGGGAAATCCGTGAAATAACTTGCGAAACTGAAATGATCCACCCGCATTCAATCATAATGAACATAAAATAGAGCTTTTAAAGTTAAAAACGATGAGCTATGGAAATACAGTCCATTTTCTCAAAAATAGGTCTAAACTGAAAATTTCATCGGAAGAGAGTTAAAAATTGACTGGAAAGTCTTTGCGGGAAATTAATTAGAAAAATAAGGAAATATTAATGGCGTGTTCATAGGAGAAACGGAACATGCTTCAAAACGAAAAATCGTGTTCACCGGCGCGCCAAAGTTTCTTTAAAACTGTACTAATTTTTGTTTTGGAGCAATTTTTCTTTGCGTTTCGAAGCAATTTTTCGTTTTGTCCGATGAACACGCCATTAACAAAAATTGAAAAAAATTGAAGGGGATTTTTAAAGGCGCATGGCTAAACCAATTTTTTACTAATTTTAACATAACTTTTTCATTAATTCCGGGTTTCATTAGCTTTTTTCGTTCAAAAAAGTTCCTTTGAAGTTTGGTAAACCTGAAAAATATATTCAGTTTCAGAAAAAAAGTGATTGAGTTTCATCGAATCCAAAGTTTTGATTTAAAATATAAAAAAACCGTTTTTTTCATTGTTAAATTTAACATTTGATCAAATTGACTGAAATTTCTCGATAATGTAAAGAAGTACGGTTCAAAAAAATGTTTCTGTTCGACAGAATTAGGGATTTCGAAGCTTGTTAGCAATTGTCCCCTATAGGAATCCCTTTTGCAAGCTTTAGGGCTCACTATAAGGGTGAGTGAAGTGGTCCCTAGAGGAGAGTTCCAAAGGAAAGATCTCAAAAATTAAGGCTCAAACTTGCTCTTTCTTTGCCAAATGTTGATTTAAAAAATTGGAAAATACTCACGTCCTTCTGGTTCCAGGACACGTTGATGACTGACGTGGTTCCTGCCACAACTTCGACTCCCGACTTGCCGCCCTCTGCGAATATTTTTTAATTTGTATTTTTTTAAAATTTATCTTTACTTTGTCCTTGTGATTTGTCTGTATCCGAATTTTTAATTCTTTAACAATCTCTCTTTTTATGTGCACAGTGATCTACCCGCTCTTCTTCTGAAAAGAAATCTTTAATACTTTTTCTTTGATCGTTTTTATACAAAGAAATATGTTTTTTTCTGATTGCGACGGACCAGTCTTCCATTTCCGAAATTTACCTGTATGAAAAAAAGTCCGCAGTTGCTCGTTTTTGTGTTTGCACCGTTGTCGCGTGATTTTTTTCCTAGTAAACTTTTAATATTAGATTTTTTTCAAAATTTTTCTCTCATTAATTTTTTTTAAATATGAAAATATAAAATATAAAGAGTGCAAACACACGACGCGAACAACTCAGATTGCGGACTCTCCCTTACAGTATTTTTCGTGAAATGAAATCGTATCATCATGTTTTATCTTTTTTTCGGCATCGTCACTTATATGGTGTTATTAATTGCCTCCATGTGAATTCCTTTGCTGAAGCCGTTTTTGGCCATTTTTTGCCGTTTCTCTTCTCCTAGTTGATCTCCATCTTGCCTACGTGCTTTCTCCAAATGATTTTGTTAAATCAAATTTTTAAAGATTTTAATCGAACAACCTTATTGACCGATGACTTTGTTTTACCCGTCCCGAGTGCCGTTCGACGTTCCTTTCATGCCTTAAGCGTTATACCATTTTTTTACGACGCATAAAATGCCTTTGATCAAAAAAATGTTCGAAATTTATTCATCCATTCCAATATAATATACTTTATAATATATATAATATGATTTGAAAGGCAACAGCAAGGAATTGAAAAATTTCTTGCTGCCGCACATTTCATCTGTATATATATATATATATATATATGTATTATCGTCCTCAAAATTGAAATTTAGCATGCGAATTTTAAGAGAAAAATGCAACATTCAGGCAGCTTTTTTTTGTTTTTGAGAACCATAATACCTTTTTTCCTCTAGAGACACAAAAAACACATTTAGCTAGGGCAAAGAACAAATAATCAAAAAGACATGGGACAAGAGACAAATTTTTGCCATGCGGGAGACAAAAAGCAAGATTCTTTTTTAGCCATTTGGCACAGGAGCAAAAAGTCATATTAAGAAAAAATGGACATTTTTGAAAGGAAGGAAAGAGACGAAATAGTGAGCGAACCCAGCACGAGTAAAACGGCGAAGAAAAGGAGAAAAATTGACATTTTTCTACTTTTACAATTGAAAAAATTCACCTAAAATTCTCCAACACAAAAAAAAAATTGAAGAAAGACGTGGCAAGCACGACAATGAAAGGAAAAGTTGCTCCATGGCTAATTTGCTTCTTTCCGGAAAGTGGGCACTTTAGGGTGGAGGAGTTTTTGAAGTAGTGGCTACTTGAGTAGTTTCTATTAGAAGCAGTTTTCTAAAATAATTTTTCAAGTTGAAAGTTGCTGAATGAGTACTTAAGGGGTCCCTTGGTCCGGCTCTCTCGAGTGACCACTTGAGAGATTCAGAAAAAAAAAATCAGCCACGGAGCAAACTTGCACCAGAAAAGTCCAAAAAATCGAGCAAAAATCAGGAAAAATTCTCATTTTTTTTTCTTTCTTCTAACCTCTAAACGAATAGGAATGAAAAGATGAAAAGAAAATCGGAAAAAAGAGCAAAAAAAAACATGGCAACATTCTGCAACATGTATGCGGTTGTGTGTGACGCGAGTGAGGGCAAAAAAATCAAAAAAATCAACAAAAAAAAGGAAATTCGAGATGATATCCATCGTAGAAATGGAGACAAATCAATAAAAAAATATATATTATAATAAAATATAATATAATCTACCCAGCTAGGCCTTTTTTAGAACGAAGACGAAAAATAGTGAAAAACAGACGGAAAAGCGCTACGAATAGAGAAAAAGAGAGAGAAAAGGGAAAAATAATGATGAAACGAATGAGAGGACAGAGAAAAGGGAAGAATCTGATGGAGGACGCGGGAAAGTGGGCACTTAAGAGGAATAAATTCGATTTTCAGAGGCTTTCCTACGGTTATAATCATTTGAAAAAAAAATCGATTTTCCCTACTTTTTTGCATCCTTAAGTGATCACTCAGCCTCTGAAGCACAATATAACCCTATAGTGATCTCTTGAACTTTCAAAAACTTGTAGTAAGGTTGGGAAATGAAAATTTTCAAAGATCGTAAAGGTGAAAAAAATCGCTCAAGGGTCCACTTGTTTTTTAAAAACCCTTAAGAAGACTCTAGATGTACTGAGTTGATCACGAGGCAAAAAGAGCTAGTGTGAACGATTCCGAACACTTAAATGACTACTTAGTCTTCGAAAAGGATCAAGAGTCCACTTAAGAGGGATCGGTGAAGCTTTGAAAATGATCAAAGGCTCAAAAAACTATTTAAAAAAACTCTGAAAACCTTGAAATTGAACATTCAAATTCCTAGATAGACTTTAGACCGTTGCAGAACCCTGAACAAGTTTCAAAATCCTAGTGATCACTTAAGGGGATCATAAACTTCTAACATGACGGGTCCTGAAGCTGTAAAAAACCTTCAAAGTCTCAAAAGGCCACATTCCCCGGCTCCATCACGAAAAAAGGAAACAAGAAGAAGGTAGGAGATGATCATTGTCGTTTGGCGGCGGGGGTCGAGCAGGCCGTCGAGCCGGCCGGCGTCGCGAACAGCTCGGGCCGACGGGCGTGCTCCATCACGCCCGGGCCTCCCAACGGCGGCTGCCACACTTCGAAACCGAGCTTCGTCAGCTCGCCTTCGATCATGTCGAGCAGCGTTTGTGGCGTGTCTGGAAATGTTCTAACTGAGGTCCTCAAAAAAGGTTTTAATCAGGGTTTCAATCAAGAATTTCCGAAAAAATTTTTCGGTACCTATTCGAAGTAATCCTTTTCGAGACCGACTCTCAAAAAGTTGGTTTGACGACCAGCCTCAAGTAGTCCCTTTAGGGTACAGGATACTTCAAAAATGCCTCAATTTTTCAGAAGATTTCTGTCTAATTACTACGAGCAAAGAGGTCCTAAGTGCTCATTTAAGGGGTCATGAAACCCCTAAAAGGTCTCTTTGAGTTTCCGAATCTTTCAAAGCTTAAGACATCCTTCAAGTGGACTCTTAAGAGACTGAATATTCTTGCAAGCCCCTAAAGCGATCACTTAAAGAATAGGAAAAAAAATCAGCAGAAAAACTTCAATTTTTACCACTAAAATTATCTTGGTTTCTCAAAAAGTTGGTCTCCAAGCTTCCGCATCAGCTAAGTGACTATTTTAAGGTCCAAGATACCCCAGAAATGCCTTCTTTGACCTTCTGAGTAATTCAGAGCTTGCTACCAACTTCAAGTGTTCTCTTAAGGTTTATAAAGACCAAGTGACCACTTTAAAGGCTTTCAAAAGTTTCAGAAAAGCATCAAAGTTGATGTTTACAAGGTTTTCAAAAGTTTAGTGATCTCTTTAGTGTTTTAGAAGCTTCTGAAGCTCTACTAGGTTGTCAGAAGCCTCAAGGAAACTTAACACGATTTACAGAACCTTTTCAAAGAAAATGTTGTATTTTTTAGGAATGTGAGATACTCAAAAACGTTGATCTGAGGGCTAAACCAGCTCAAATGATCTCTTTAGGGGTACAGGATCTCAAGTGATCCCTTCAGGGTACAGGATCTCAAGTGATCCCTTTAGGGCTACAGGAGCTCAAGTGATCCCTTTAGGGTACTTGGAAAAGTTGATAATGCCTAACCCTCTTCTTTTGACAACTGAAAAGGCCTTTTTTAACTTTTCTTCAAGTTAAGAATGGGAAAATCTTTCGAAAATGAAAAGTTACCAGGTTTCAAGAAGGCAAAAACGGATCCGCCGCCGCCGGCGCCCGTCATCTTGGGATGGATTCCATAACGGGCCAGGGTGGTACAGATCTGGTCGACTTTCGGGTGTCCGACGCCCGAGGGCGATCAGCAGCTGGTTGTTTATTCGGCACAGATCCTGCAGGATGGGAAAATCTAATAAATATCGTATTTAAAAAAGGTATTAAGGAGTAGAAAAATCAAAATTTGAAAGAAACTGATTATAAAATGATTTTCCCGCCTCTGACAAAAATTGCGGTGCACTCTCGCAGTGCAACCAGGGGTATACCCCGTTTAGCTTTAAACATCTATTACTGAGAAGATTTTCAGTGGCTACTATAGAGGCTCGCCAATGACTAATTGGAGAGAAAACTAAAGCTGTTTTGACCCCTAAAGTGACCACTAAAGTTTTTAGTGTTTAGTAGTAGCACTTTAGAATCAAAAAGATTGAATTATTACATTTTAATTGTTATTAATGAAACCGACTGTTCGAGCTTTTTTTTGCATATAAAATTTGATGTTACAACTGTTTTTTTGTAGAATAAAAAAATTCCAAAGTTAGGAAATAATGAGTTTTATCAAAGGCGCACGCAAGGGGGCACACCGAGAACATCGAAGCGAAGCGCCGAAAGGGCTACTGTAGCTCCAAATAAACTGGAAATCGGGACAAGCTGGCGCGGAATGACTTATATACCAGTTTTTGTGAGAGACGGAAAAGAACAAGAACCAATAAAGAACATGACTTTACAATTAAAGTGAGCGAGAAACTGTAAAAATGTCCAAATTTCACAAAAAAAACTTCCTTTTTTAGTGTCCTGTTAAAAGAGTGGCTCAAAAAGAACAAAGGTTTGAGCTTCAAAAAAGCTTTTCTTTCTTTTTTTGTCTAAAAAGGGCACATAAGTCGAAATTTTCTATTTTTCAAATAAGCCATCTAAAGTCTCAAATTAACCAGCTCAAAACCACAAGAACCAAGAAAAGAAAGGACCTTTCACATACGAAACGGAAATTCTCTTGGAATAAAGCTTTGCAACTGAAAAACGACTCACATTAAGCTTGCTGAAGGTGTCGACGAGTTCGCCCTTCTCGGAAGTGGCCGAGATGGCCGACGCCGACGAGTTGCGCTTGCCGCCGGCGACGTACGACGCCAGCGAGGAGGAACGGACGCTGCCGCCTCGGGTCGGCTGAACAACTCACCGTGAAAAAAACAACAGAGAGAATGTCTACACGGCTACTTCTGACAAGGATGATTATTTTACTTGGAAATTCGTGAAAAATGGTTAGAACACTCTCTGACCAGGGAATGGTCTCGAGACTTCCGAATGAGACCGTTTTTTCTAGATTTAGTTTTTCATGTTGATTCCAAATCCGGTCTCAAAAACCGCCACCGAGGTCTCAAAAATCGAAAATCTCATAGCCTCCAATCGAGCTCATTTTTGGAGGGTATATATTCATTGTGTCCCTTGTCAGGAAAAAATTATTTGAGTTTGTGGAGCCCTGATATGATTTTTCAAAGTTCGGAGCGCGGTTTCCTCTCTATAAGATACCAAAAAAGGATTCTGAAAGTGTCATAACTTCCTAGAACATCTCGAAATCAAAGAAACCCGTGTAAAACCTTTATTCGAAGTGATCGCTCTCATTTCGAGGCTTCTACCTGGATCTCCGTGCTCAGCTACAACATAAGCTACATTCTGAGCTCGTCAAGGCAAACCTAGATGAACTACGCGCAGAAGAACTAGGCGAAAGACCGGAAGGCCATGACTTCAAGTTGATCAGCTACATTCTGAGCTCGTCAAGGCGAAACTGGATAAACTACGCGCAGAAGAACGAGGATTGTTAGAGCCTGACTTCAAGTTGATCAACTACATTTTCTGAGCTCGTCAATGCGAAACTGGATGAACTACGCTTAGAAGAACGAAGCGAAAGAGCGTAAGGCCTGGATTTCAAGTTGATCAACTACAAATTTAGACTTTCAGTTGGCCGTCCAGTCGATTACATCTATGAATAGCATGCTCCCCTAGAGTGGCCACTAGCTGAAACCCTCATTGGGGCCATTTTTGACAGCTTCAGTATCCTCATTGGGGGAGTAAAGTGATCCCTAGAGGGGATTCTTAAAGCGCCCCTAAGATGTACACGTTTGGACTTCTAGTTTTTCTAGTTCGCCAAAGACAGTGCCGTCTAAATAATGGCTATTTTTGGATCTTCTGTAGAAAGTTTCATCAAACTCTAACAACTCGACGTTCCGCACTTCTTCTGTCAGACACTTTCCTAGTTATACTGATACTGAAAACAATGGTACTGACTCGCTACTACCGCTACCAACCACGAATCACTAACAGGGGATTTTCGAACAAAAAACTTCGCCTTTTTTCAGAAAAGTCTTCAAAAGTTGGGGTACCTGCAAAGAGTGATGGTCCGAGTCTCCAACCGCCACGAAAGGTCCCAGGCCATTTTCCAAGGCGGAGGAGGAGCCTCCGTCGCCGTTCTCTTCGCCGAGCGGCGGCCGGTGCAGGATTTTCGCGGCTTCGAGCGATATCGCGTCGATCGAGCCGAACAACGCGTCGACGACGCCAGGGAACTGCAAAAATAGCCGTCAACTCGGGTTTTGATCTCTGATCTACATGTCGAGAATTAAAAAAAGACCGTTTAGACCAAAAGTTCTATTTTAGCAAAATTTTTAATTCCGAAACACGACTTTAAGCATCTTATGAATGATAAAAAAAATCGCCTGATTTTTCAAAAATCACGAATTTCATTCAATAATCCACAAAATCCGGAAAAAAAGTCCATTCTAGATAAGACCCTAATATTATTAATAATTTTCGATTTTCCAGGAATTTCATCTTCTTTAATCTTTCCTTGACCGTTTTCAACCAAAAACTCCACTTTTAGCAAAAATGTCAAGCTTTTCGGAAAAGCGATTTTGAAGACCTCATAACTGATAAAAACTACCAAGAATCTCATATTTTATTCGAAAATCAACGAAATTCTGAAAAAAGTCTCTTCCAGCCTGATAAGAACCTCTATTCTGATCTCAATCATCTATTTTTTCACAATTGTACCTTCTTTAATCGTTCCTTGACCGTTTGGACCATCCTCGCCGTATTCCTCTCAACTTTTGAGTTCACCAAAATCACTCGGAGGTCCGGCAAACTGCAAAAATCGACTTTATTTCAGCAAATTACTTCAAAAAAGCGGTGAAATTGAGAAAAAAAAACGTTCGCATTTTAAAAAGATCCTCACTTTTTCAAGTGCTCGATACGGTGTCCAGGCTTGAAGCTGGCGACTCCACCTAAAAAAATTAATCAATAACTTTGAGAATGAAAAAAGGGAAGAAAAATCGAAATCGCAAAAAAAAAAGTTAGAGAGTAGGAGAAATTTGGAGACACTCTAATTGTCTGACGCCCTCCACATTTCTCACACTCCCTCGCTTTTTCGCGATTTCCAGAGCTTTGAAAATCACAACGGAAAACAAAAATCGCAAAAAGTGAGAGAGTATGGAAAAATGGAGAGTGCAGGCACTGTCTGACGTCTGATACTCTCCAAATTTTTCACAGTCTCTCAAAATCTACGATTTCGGTCTTTTTCACTGAAATCATGAAAAGACGTGTTGAAAATATACAAGACACTTTTGGAGAAAAATAATTTTCGATTTATTTCTCAACACATCTCCACCACACACACATCACTACTTGAAATCATGCTTTTTTTTTTTCGATTTTTGGATTTTCCAAGGATTTTATCCCAATTTTCCGTTCTCTTCTTAAATTTGAGCCCTGGACAAGCAGGGGGCCGTACTGCTCCCCCATGAAGAAGCAGCTGATCATCAGAACTACCAAAAAAAAGAACGTGACGCTCTACGCGCCGTTCTTGATCAACGACATTTATTACATGATTCAGCAGAGAATATTTTCTGAAGCTTGTTGAAATTATCCGAAAGCTTTAACAAAATCATGAGGTCATGATGAACTTTTAATGAATTCTTTGAAACGTATCTTCTCGCTTCTTTTTAAAAATGAAAAGTAGAAAAAGGACAGGTTAGAGAGAAAAAGAAGCCATTCCAAGACGACCACAGCAAGACGGAAAATTTTCCAGGACTCGTTTGAGATTTCGAAAAAGGTCTCGTAGCGAAAACTACAGTACACTGATCGAATTAGTACAATTGAAAGAAAATAAATTGAAAGATACTGTGTAGCAGCGAAAAAAGTGGGAAATCTGATAATACAGTACACCTGGAGAGAAACCGCTACGAGACCCGAAATGACTCGAGTTTACAGTTTCAAGACCTTTTTTAAGTCTTATAAATTAAAGGCACAATAATGACGTATCTTTTCCGCCGTCCTGGTCTAATTTATTCAAAAACAGAGACCGGAAATAGCTCAAAAGAGAGGTCATCCCTGGTTACAGTAGACCTTGCCTAAAATCGGTTCAAGACCCAATATAACTTCACAATTTCACAGTTTCAGGACACCTAGAAGCTATGAAACCGTCCTGAAAATTAGCTAGGATTTTGATATTTTCTGATATAACTTTGAAATGCCAAAGTAATCCCTTAAGGGGCTAGAAAAAACAGCTTTCATATTTGACAAAATAGTGCTCCCTAGAGGGGTTAAATAGGTTCTTATAAAGGTCTAGAATCTAGCCCCTAAGTGGCCCCTACAGCGGTCTTTTTGTAGTCAGTAAAAATTGGTCGATATTTTTCTCTCAAAAAAACGCAAATTTATTGATTTTTCGGGAAGGCTTCTTCTCATAGAGTCATCCCAATTTGAAAGAAAAGGCACAGCTACAGTACGTCTAGCTCGAAATCGCTTCAAGACTCGAAAATCTCGAATTACAAGACAATAAAAGCTCATCTACCATTCTTATAGTATACATCAACGTCCAAGTCTCCTAGTTTTGAAAAATGAGCCAAAAATTCTAAATCTACAGTAAACCTGGTTGTTCGCTGTAAGACCTGTTTTATTCCAAAGTAAAGTTACCGATTCAAAACCGTTTTAAGGCTCGAAAAGATACCAAAGAACATTTTTTCCTCTACATGATTCAAAAAACTTTTTAATTGACAAAAAAAACGGCTGTGAAACCTAATTTTCAAACATTAAAAAAGGCTCAAAATGGTGTAAAAAGTATAAAATTTGAGGATCAAGACAAAAAATTTCAAATTTTCAAAACGAGTCCCGGAAAAAAAAGAAAGAAGAGAAAGAGGTGAGAAAAACGAGTCACAGGCCAGAAACGAATCTCGATTTTTGGTTCAAACTGAAAAAAAAAGAGGCGAATTTCTTCAAATTTACCATAGCAGCCAACATGGCCGAGGTGCGTAAAGCTTTGATATCCGTAATCTCTGTAGGGAGTGCCTAAAAACAACGGGAAAAAATGGGAATGATTTTTCTCATTTTGAAGAGAGAAAAGGCAGAAAAAATGGTGGCTTTTTTCATGAGAAATTTTTTTTCGCGAAAAGAAAGCACATGAAAAAAGCCCGAAGCGCCGCGGTGAGATTAAGAAAAACTGCTCCGCGACCGCGACGCTTCGAGCCATTCCAACTGCGACCAAAAAAAAAACCGATTAATACCATTTTTTCGGAAACTCTCTCAAGAAAAAACACAAACCCAAAAAAAGAAAAAAAATATAGCAAATTCTATGAAGCTTATAGGAAAAGCGAATCTAAAAACTTCTGTCAAAGCTATAAAATAATTTAAAAAAATTCATAAAGATTCAAAAAAATCAGTCTGCTCTGGCCTGGTACCCGGTAGCTCGAGAAATGGGGAAAAAGAGGTTAGATTGGGGAAAAATAGAGGAGAAATCCCAGAAATTGACAAGATTTGAGGAAAATATGCTCCATTGAGAAATATCGCCGAAAATGACCTTCAGAATAACCAACAAAAGTGCTCTATTGATAAATTCAAATATTTTCGCTATTTTGATCTTAAAAATAGCCTTAAAGGCCTTAGAAGAACCTCGGACCTCGCAAAAGAAAACCGGACGTTCCGCAGAAATTCTAGGGATCACTCAAGGGTTCTGATGTCACTAAAGTGGTCCCTAGGGATCACTCAAGGATTCTTGTGCCACTAAAGTGGTCCCTAGAACTTCACAGACACGTCCGGTTCGCTCTACCGAGCCTCAATTGTGCTCCATAAAAAGTTCATTGGAGCGCAAATGACCTCTAATTTTGAGCCTCGGAAAATTGAGATAAGCTAAAACTAAGGATCAATCACACACGACAAATGGAGTCGAGAAGGGAAAATCAGCGAATCGAGGAAATTTTTGGCAAAAATCAAATCAACTACAAAAAATGAAGACATTCGCCTCCCGGGCACCGTCGAGCAAATTCTCAATCAAATTTCGGTTGGAGGGCTTTTTTTTTGAGAGGCTTGGAACTGAATCGATATTTTCATTTAACATTGAAAACCCTTAAAATTGAACTCATGAAGTCCGCAAAACTTCAAGTTCCTGAAAAATCGTATCGAAGCATTTTTGAAAGATCGAAACCTTGTAAATTGAGATAAAAAAATGGAAAAATTGTAATACAATATTTTTTTGATTTTTTTAAGACATATTCCAGCAACTTTTTTTAACGTTTTTGGTAGCGTAAAAGTATATAAATTTAAAAAAATTAAAAAGTAAAATTTTTTTGTCAGAGAACTTTTTCAAGCTCTTCCTTGAACTGGCAAAAAAATCCTGAGCTTCTGGAAAAAATGATAAAAAAACGGAAGCTCTTCAAAACTTTCAAAAAGGTGGAAATGGTTGATAACATATTTATTAATATCTTTAAAAAAAGACTTTTTAAATTCCAAATTCTCAAAATAAAGAGAACTTTACGTTCCCAGGCGCTTACTTATACCATAAAAATCCTATTTTTCCAGTTTTTTTCTTCCAACTATGAGATCCTTGATAACAATATTATAGCCTTCCAAGCCTTCAGAACGTCCCGAATCTCCCAAAAACCTCCAACCGAAAAATGAACAAAAAAACAACCATGCAGCAGCGAAAACTGAGCTTCTACCAGCTTCTATCCTAGGTATTTTCTACCCTCTAACAACTAAGGTCATTTTTATTTTGATTAGGAACTTTTTAAAGATCGGCCAGATCACTTTTTGCACAACCAGATGATGATTTTAAAGTCTCAATGAAACTTTCTAGTTTTCAAGAAAAAAGGGCTCAAAGTCGAAGAAAAGCATAAAAACCGTTGAAATGGGACATTTTGAACCCAAATTTCTCAAAAAAAAAAAATGAATTTAAAGTGATTTTGACCTTCATGCTATTCAGTACTTCAAAAATCATTCTGGCCAATTTTCAAAAAAAAAATCCCGAAAATAAAATGACCTTTTAAAGAAAGATGACGACCGACTGGTTCTAGAAGCGAATTTTCCATTTCCAAAGAGTACGGTATGTGAAAAGTCCGCAACTAGGTTGGTGTGTGTATGCACTTTTCTTGTTCCGAGTCAGTTTCTTTTAATTTTTGAACTTGATTAATTCGGATTACAACTTCAGACTACAAAAAAAACCGAACGACGCCAAAAAAGTGCATATACACAAAGTTTACGCCTAAGATTGCGGACTTTTTCCTACCGTACCCTTCAGAAATGGTTCTTTTCGTAGCAGGAAAGAAGGAAATCAATACCATAAGTGCAGACAGCAGCGTCGAGGCCAGAAGCTCGGCCGTGGATGAGAGATTCGGCGGCGGTGGCCCACTTCCGGATCATGTCCAGGTGTTCGTCTTCCCAGGTGAGGTCGCCTTGATCGTCCGCCTGGAGAAATCGAGTTTACAGGGAATCAAATATCACGTGTTTTCGCTATAGCTTTCAGAAATCAATTTCTTTACTCTCCTGTGGTCGCTCTCAAACTGAGGCTTCCCTAGAAGACGGTCTCCGTGCTCAGCTACAACATCAGCTACATTCTGAGCTCGTCAAGGCGAAACTGGACGATCTACGCGCAGAAAAACAAGGATTGTAAGATCCTGGTTTCAAATTGATCAACTACACTTTATGAGCTGGTCAAGGCGAAACTAGATGAACTACGCTCAGAAGAACAAGGTGAAGACTTTAAGATCATGATTTTAACTTGATCAACTACAATTTCTGAGCTCTTCTAGGCGAAAACGAACGAACTACGCGCAGTAGGACAAACCGGGGGGCCGTGAGATCAAAATTTCAAGTTGATCATCTACACTTTCTGAGCTCGTCAAGGCGAAACTGGATCATCTACGCCCAGAACAACTAGGGCTGCAAGAACCTGACATCAAGTTGATCATCTACAATTTCTGAGCTGGTCAAGGCGAAACTGGATAAACTACGCTCAGAAGAACGAAGTGAAGGCCTGCGAGACCCTGACTTCAAGTTGATCAACAACAATTTCTGAGCTGGTCAAGGCGAAACTGGATAAACTACGCTCAGAAGAACGAAGTGAAGGCCTGCGAGACCCTGACTTCAAGTTGATCAACAACAGTTTCTGAGCTCGTCAAGGCGAAACTGTACGAACTATGCGCAGAAAAACGAGCTCGGGGACCGTAAAATCAAGCTTTCAAGTTGATCAACTACAAGTTTGAACTTTTAGTTCGCTAAAGCTCTTTTTTTAAGGGGGTTAGGAGCGGTTGTTCAATATGACCCTTCAAATGTCCCTAGGGGTCACTAAAGGATATTAATACTATCTATTTTTCTAAAAATGATCACGATTGTATTGACTTGTGTCATATTTTTTTGAGAAGCTTATGATTTCGCGATGAAACGGAAGAATGAACTAACGACGACGGACGGCGGAGGGATGAGACCGGCAGTTTGAAGGAGAGCAGTAGCAATGCAAACACAATAAGCACCTGAAAATATTTTAATTTGGACTAAAATTCAATGAAAATTCATTTTTTCGATGTTTAAAGCTGAAAATAGCTCATTTATTCAAGGGGTTGGAAGAAACTTTAGTAGCCCCTTAAGGGGTTTCTCAAGGACTACTTTGGAGAGGACACTAAAACGACCTAGAAGTCATTATTTTCGTCTCTTAGTGGCCACTTAAGCAGATATTGCTAATGGACCGACTACTAAGGAGGCCACTAAAGCTTCACAACCCTTAAATGACCTCTTAAGTGTTTTCTAGCAAAGATGAAAATTCAACTTTCAAACCTTTTCAAAAATCATTGATTTAATCGAATTTTTGGGTCAAAAATCGCAAAGAAAGCCAAAAATGACTCATTGATTCAACGGAAAATTCAAATTTAACCTTGAAAACCCAAAAAATTTCGGATTCTTCTCAATTTTTACGCACTTTTTAGGGTTCAAAATCAATGATAAAGCCAAAAATAACTCCTTTAGTTCCGTAAAACTTTGAATTAAACTTTGAAAAATTTCAAAAACCTCGGATATTTATCAGTTTCACGCACTTTCAAAAAGTCAAAAAAATCGCTGATAAAGCTTGAAATGACTCATTTGTTGAAGTTACGTTTCAAAATTAACGTTTAAACTTAAAATTTTGGATTTATTCAATTTCATCTTTTTAGGGTCTAAAATCGCAAATAATGCCGAAAAATGACTCAATAATTTACTTAAAAAAATTCAATTTTTAACGTTCTAACTTTCCAAAAAAATTATTGCTTATTGATTTCATCGACTTTTAGGGCTCAATTTCAATGATAAAGCCACAAAAACTCATTTATTTAACGGAAAATTCGAAATTAACCTTCCAACTGCACAAAAATGTGTGATTTTTCTTGATTTTATCGATTTTGAGGGCTCGAATTCAATGGAGTCAAAAATAACTTATTTATTGAGGTCAAACTTCGAATTTAACCTTAGATATTCCAAAAAATCTTGTATTTTTCACAATTTTATCGACTTTAAGCACTCAAAATCAATAATAAAGCCGAAAATAACTCCTTTATTCACTCGAAACTTCAAATTTAACCTTGGAAAGTCCAAAAAATCTCGGATTCTTATCACTTTGTTCGGCTGTTTGGATCAAAAATCGCAAATAAAGCCCTATTTAACTGACTTACTCGAGCAAAAGTTACAATTTGACTTCGAAAATTCAAAAAATCACAAATTTTCTGAAATTTATCAACTTTGAGGGTGAAATATTGCTAATAAAGCCCAAAATAATTCATGAGTTCACTTCAAATTCAATTTTAACCTTCGAAATATCAAAAAATCCCGTATTTTTCAAATATCTATCGACTTTTCGAGTCAAAAACCGCTGTTAAAGCCTTAATTAACTAATTTACTTGGGCAAAAGTCGTTCAAAAACGCTGACAAAGCCAAAAATCTCTGATATTCACCGTAGAAAATCAATTTCAACGTCTAAACTTCATAAAAATCTCCAAAAAAGGTACCCGAAGAACCAAGGCCAACGCAGCTGGGCAGCCTGAATCGCACCGTCGTTTTCACCGCCAAAAGGTCTCTGAAATGTTCATTCTATTCATGAAATACCACTGAAAAAAATTCAAATATATAATTTAAAAAGTGTTAAAACGACCACCACCACTACCACAGCAAAAATCACTAAAAGCGTGCAAAAAGAAAAACCACGAAAAAAAAATTTTTGAAGATTATTTTTAGTTGTGTTATATTTTGTTAGGACTTATTCTAAAGGTTCTAAAAATTGGAAGGTCCCTCAAAATTTCTCTAAAAAAATCGAAAATAATAGGAATTTTTTTCAAGTTTTCTATAAAAAAATTCTGCGAAACTCATCCTTGTAGTGACTCTATAACTATTATGAAGAACTTTATCCTTTTTATTTCTTATTAAAAAAATATAAAGACATCCAGGGTTTTTTTCAAAGCCTTATAAGCTTCAAATGACACTTCCTAAATCTCTAAAAAAACTCCATACCTTCCGAAAAAAAAATTTTTAAAGCTCATAAAAAAATCTAAGAAATCTCAGAAAGTACAGGAATTTTCGAAGCTTCAAATAAGAAACTTCAGAAAATCCGGAACTTTTCTAAATTTTATTTTGATCTTGAGAAACTCTTTGAATCAACTCTGAAGGCTTTACAAGGCTCCTGACTCGAAAAATCATTTGATCAAACTACAAGTTCAAACTATAAAAAAATCTTTCGACAGTTTAAAGGCCAAAAATTTAAACTTTAACTGATTTCGACCCATTAAGCAACTTTCAAGATAGGAAAAATCCGGTCTGCACGACATTTAAAAGCGTCCAGACCCTTCAAAACCTTCCCCAGCTCTAAAATATGTCTCCAGAAGCTTCCTTTCCGATTATCTCGTTCAAAAATCTGACCTCAAAAGCGTTCGAGTCAAAAATATGACTTTTTCAAAATTTCCCCTGTTCTCAAGGACCTTCCAAGCTTCCAAACCAAAATATGTCGTTAAAAAAGAAACCAATAGTGATATTCATCAAAAACACACTGTTGAGCGTTAGCCGAAGCGGCCGCCAGATTCGCAGCAGAAGCCGTCAGAAGCGGCGACGACGTCATCATGGAAGAAGGCGTCGGGGTGGCGGGCGGGACGGGCAGGGCCATCGCCCGCTCGGCCTCGGTGACGTCTTCGTCGCCGATCGCGTCTCCGATCGCGCCGGGCTCCGTGACGCCCGTCGTCTCCCGGTGGAGTCCCGAGGGCAGCGCCGGCGGGGGCAGTCCTTTGGCCATGCGGGCCATCGCGCTGAACATCCCTCACGTCTGTTGGGATGAAAAGGAGGAGGGCGAACGAATGGAAACAACAGAAAGAAAGACATACACAGCGACGGACAAGTGCACACTACGCGGCTACAGTAGGAAAGTTCAAAAATGAACTTTTTTGAATACCGTACTTCATTTATTGATTTTTTGAGCGTGATCGGACAACTAGCGACTTTTTAAAGATTCTTGTTAGAAATTCAAATAAAATGTACCTTCATATTCCAAAAAATGACATCTTTTTAAGACCATTGTTTCATTCCAAATGAGAAATATTGGACGTTTTTTTATAGAACCTAATATTTTTAAAACAAATTTGAAGCAAATTTCAACTTCGATACAATATTTTAAACAAAAAAGGCATGTTAGTAATGAAAATAAAAATAAAAAAAAATCGTATTTTCTTTCAAAAACACCAATGAACATCAATCATGCTGGTTATTAAAGGCACATGGAAAGTTTTGTTTTTTTTTTTCTGACAAGGGGAATTTTTCGGGCCTTGAAATTTTGATGAAACTTGGAAAATTAGTATGACGAAAATCTTTTAGGCTAATTTAAAGGCGCATGAACAGCGATATCAAAAGGTTCTGAAGATCTTAGGAAAAATCGCGACAATAGATTAAAGGCGCATGAACAGAGAGTCTCGAAGCGAAAAACAAAAATCGTGACAAGCTGGCGCGGAATGGACTACAGACCCAAATCGTTCACCTTTTCCTGTGGGCGACGCCGAGGAGAAGATACCAGAAGGCGAGGATCGCCAAATGTTGAACCCCGCACTGATCCTCGCAGGAGCCGGAGAGCTTCCTGGCGATCGGGACGAGGACTTCCAGCGACGGCGGCTGGTCCTCCTCAACTGGATAATCGGCCGCCAATCGGTCAGCCGCCTGCAAAATCGAGCATTCTACTCTTCTTTCTAGCGTTCTGTACTTTTCTAAAAAAATCGCCCAGAAAGTTTTAAATGAACTGGAAATCGAACCTAGTCTTAAAGGCAAAGTTTGGAATGTCAAAACAGCCTCTTTAGGGGTCGAAAAAGTGGTCCCTAGAGGGGTAAACATCGAGTCATTTCGGGTCTCGCAGCGGTTTCTTTCGAGGTGTACTGTATTATTAGATTTTCCACCTTTTTTCCTGGTACACAGTATCATTCAAGTTATTCTGTTTCAATTGTGCTATTCCGATCACTTTCGGAGGTGCACTGTAGTTTTCGCTACGAGACATTCGTAGGGATTACAGAGAGTGGTCCCTATAGGGGTTGGTAAAGTGGTCCCTAGAGGGGGACTTTCAAGGGGTCCTAAGGTTGCCTCTATAGGAACCGCTCTGGAGTTCCTAAGTAACTTTTTTCAGGCTCTTTTCCTACCTGACTCGTACTGGACGATTCTGAGCATTTCTAGTGATCACTTAAGAATACTGACGCCCCTAAAGGGATCCCTAGAAGAGCCTAGAAACATCCCTAAAGTGATCCCTAGAAAAGCTCTGGGCGCATCCGGGTCGCACTCCACTTTTGAAATTCTAATTTTTCAGGAAATCCCCACCTTGAGCAAATCCTTGAGCATCCACGTCTTTTCCACACCCAAATCCGGCAAACTCAGGTAGATCCGGCCGTCGGCCGACGTGTACAAAGAGACATACGTCCGTAGGTCGATTGATCCCGCAATTGCAGTCTGAGAAAGAAAAACATTCAACTGAATATACACTCAAAATATCGCCAAGGAAAGGGATCATAGCTTTTGGAAGAATTAATGAATTAGATGAAAACTTTAAATGAACTCAACTTGAACTAAAGTTCATAAATACGCAAAAAACTTGAATCCAAGTCGACAAAAAGCCATGAATTTACTTGAATAGAGCTCTAATTGTTTTTTTTCCATAGTTCAACATTTCTTCCTGAGCCTTAAAGCTCATTTATAAGATGGCCCTGCTTCAAACTTGATTATTGATTATTTTATTACCGTACTTCCAACTTGATTTTCCTAAAAAAAATAATTCGAATCCGAGCTGATAAAGTCATGAATTTAGACTATTTTTCCGAAAAATTCAAAAATTTTTCCTGAACCTCAAAGCTCGGCCCTACTTCAAACTTGATGATCCAAAAATGAGAAGCTATAGATTTTCATTTTTATTTCGAAAAAGTTCTTTCAACATTTTCAACTTCAGGCTTTTATGGAAGAATCCTGGGAAGTACTAGGCATTTTTCAATTTCAAAGTAAATCCCATAAATTCCGTCGAATGTGTCTGTTTGATCTTGTTCGTTATGAGAATCCCGAAAAACCCCTCAAAACCGACCCGTCCATAAACGACAGCATGTTCTCCAAAGAGGATGATTTTGCCGGGGGCCGAGACGAAGAGGCCGCCGTGGCCGGACGTCGTGTTGCGCATCGGACTCGCATGGTGCGAGACCGACGACGGCGCCCGCGATGTACTGCCTGACGGCGAGTCCAGTGCTGAACAAGTCATCATAGAAAATGTTTATGAAAATTGATGAAAAGATCTTTTTTCTGAAACTTTTGAGCTTGAAAACTTCCGAATGCTGTTGGAGCCGAAAAAAACCTCTTCAAATCATCCATTTATCTGACAAAACCTTTTATAGTCTTTCTGATCTAATAATAAAGCAAGGATCTGAAACTCAGAAGACATTGAGACAACCTGTGAAACTAGAGAGTAGTTTAGAAAATTGGAAAAATATATATAACTTTCTTAAAACTAAGCTCTACGGAAAATTATGAAAAAAATTGGACCATTATCCCATGAAATGCTGAGAAAGAAAGAACCTTATAAATCAATTAATCCATCCCTCAAACAATGTCTATAGTTAAAATCGCGATTATTCTTATCCATAATACTTTTCGAACCTCATAATAGCTTAATATTGAGGCCCTGAATCTCAAAAAACATTTTTAAAAAATGAAAAAAATATTCCTAATGATCGACATACTCACAAAAAACGCGATAAACACGTTTATTTTGGTAAAATTTGAGTTTGAAAACTTCCGAATGCTGTTGGAGCCGAAAAAACTTTTTAATCCATCCTTCTATCTAGAAAAACCTTCTATAGTATTTCTAATATCCTAATAAAGTAAGATTCTAGAACTCAGAAGACATTAGGACTGCCTGTGAATCTCTAAAGAAATTCAGAAAAATCAAAAGAAAAATTTATAACTTTCAGAAAACTAAATGAAAAATTTCTGAAACGAACTATTATCCAATGAAATGTTGAAAAAAACCTTATAAATTAATTTATCTGTTCCTCAAACCCTGAATATAGCTCAAATTGCGATTATTCTAAACACAGTACTTTTCAAACCTCAAAAGAACCTAATATTGAGGTCCTGAATCTCAAAAAACATTTTTAATGAACGGAAAATATTCCTAATGATCGACATACTCACAAAAAATGCGATAAATAAGTTCATTTTGGAAAATTCTGAGTTTAAAGAGTTTTGGTTGCTGTCAAGAACTTCATTAATCAATTAATCAATTAATCTGAACCTTAATAAATTTCCAACCCAGAATATTTACATTAAAAACCTTCAAAACCCATAGGAGCCTTATATTGAGGTCTTGAAACTCGAAAAAAAAAAAAAAATTCATAATGATTGATAAATAAGTTAATTTTGGTAAATTTTGAGTTTTCCAAGTTTCAAATGCTGTTGGAGTCGAAAAAGCTCATCAATTCATTCCTGGAAGGCTTGGTTTTCTCGCACTAGACCTTTTTTTTTTGATTTATGAAGCTTCAAACTTTTCAAAATGCGAAAATTTCGACAAAAAACGCGTTATTTCAAGGGTTTAAAGCTTAAAAATCGGAGCAGTTTCGAAAAATTGTCTTTTTCTGGAATCAGAAGATTCTAAGGTAGCCCTCAGGAAAGTTTCAGCTTCAACTGGGGGCTCAAAGTACAGTGAATAAACTTAGACGAAATTCGAACGATTATCAACAATACTCGAAACTGATCCGAGCCTAATATAGAAGCTTTGAAACTTAAAAGACGCTTGAAATTGGTCGGAAAATGATTGTGAAACTTTTTAACCGCTAAAAATTCATGTAATGATTAATTCACCATCTCTAAACGTGAATAACTGGCAAAAAGGATTATTTTTAGAGTTTCGAGCTTTGAAAACCAAAAAATATAAATTTCGAAAAACCTTATCTTCGTAAAATGTCCCACTTATCAGAGTTCAAGATCTACCAAACAAATAGAAAATGACATGGAAAGATCAAAGGAAAAAAGGCGAAATTCGTCAGGGAAAATGACGTCAATCGAGGGTTTTGGCTCGCGAATCGTTTGCACGGCAAACACTTGTCGCCCCAGACTCCTACCCTTTTTTCTTCTTCTTTTTTGATTGATCACCCGCCTCGCAACCATGTTAATCGATACACACGGGGAAAATAGCCGCGACAGGTGCGCTCCATTGATAAATTGCGTAGGAAATGCCATTTTTCAAAGCTGATTTTTTGTTAAGCGATTTTTGAGGGAGACAGGTGTGCTGTATAGATAAAAAGCTTTAAAAAAAGTCTTGGAGTCTGTTTTAGATTCTCTTTTTCAACAAAGCGTCTATTCGGCTATTTCTTCAATGTGAAATGCGCTCCACCGCTAAATTTTATCAAATCAAAGTTAAATTCTTCCAAAAAGTTTGTCACATCTATTTTTGAGCCTCATTTTCTACAGAGCCCAAGAAAATAATCAAAATGAGCCTCAAGGCGATTTTTCAGACAGAAAATGCGCTCCACCGCTAAAATCTCTCAAATCATAGCTAAATTCTCCCAAAAAAAGAGCTGAAAAAGCAATAACCTCTATAGAGCCTATTAAAATAACAAAAAGGACCTCAAGGCGATTTTTCAGACAGAAAATGTGCTCCACCACCAAAATTCCTCAAATCACATCTTTATGGGTAGAAAAAGGGCTGACCATCATTTCGATCTCCTCTAAAATCAAGGAAGCGGCTAAAAAAAGGCGAGTAATTGTAGTAACGATGCGCTCTACCGCTATAACTTGTCGTAAAGCGAATTTATCCCAGAAACAGCCTCGAGGCTATTTTTTCTTGTAAAATGCGCTCCAGCGCTAAATTCTAAGAAATCGAAGCTACTTTCTTCCAAAATGAGGGCGAGAAAACGATGCTCTTTATAGAGTGCATTAAATCTTTCAAAAAGAGCCCTAAGGCTATTTTACAACAGAAGCTGCGCTCCACCGCTAAAATGTCTCAAATCAGAGCTAATTTCAGAGAGAAAAAGGGCAAACCCTCATTTCAGGCTCTGAATGAGTTCAAAAAAATTTCAAAACGGTCTCAAGGCAATTTTTCAGCAGAAAATGCGCTCCACCGCTGAAATGCCTCAAATCAACACTAACTTCAGCGAGAAAAAGGCCTGACTTTCATTTCGAGCTCTGAACCCTCTTAGAATTAGCAAAAAAAACAAGCCTCAAGGCGATTTTGTGACAGAAAATGCGCTCCACCGCTAAAATGTCTCAAATCAGAGCTAATTTCAGCGAGAAAAAGGGCTGACCCTCACTTCGAGCTCAAAGTTCTCCCCAGAGCGCACTTAAACCAAGGAAACGGCAAAAAAGGCTTCTCCTAGGATAAGCTTCCGCCGCCGCGCGAGAATGATTGATGGACACGGCGGGCCGAGAAGAAAAACACAGTTTTGAGTTGTTGTTTTGCTCGTTTTTCCAGCGGGGTAGAATGAAGAAGGGAAAAAAGTGGGTGTCACCCACAAGTTGAAGCAATTTGTCGCGCCGCGTTCGCTCCCCCTTTCTTCAGGAGTTTTTTTACTCGGAAAGCTATAAAATACGGAAGGGAGATTTTTCGCATAACATTACGATTCTCATATTGAAGTTATGAAAATGTTATTAAAGTTATAGAATTTCCCTTAGAGGAGAATAAAAGGCTTTCTCCAATGATTTCTCATTGGAGCGAAATTGCTAGTTTAAAAAAAGCCTCGAGGATTTGATTCTTGTCCCAGAGCAGCTCAGAAGAGGAACAAAAGCTGATTTTACGGTATTTTATCATCGGAGCAAACTTGAGAGTTAAGAAACGGCCTGAAGGCTTGTACTTTCCTTTAAAGCAGTTGGGGAAATGATTAGAGGTTCAAAACTTCTAGATTTCATTAATGGAGCAAATTTGAGGGTTTGAAAATGGCTTTCAGATTTTTATTTTTGTTCTATAGCAGCACAGGAGGAAATAAAAAGTTGGGAATTATAATTAGGTCTTTCTGAAACTGATCTTATGGTATTTTATCATTGGACCAAACTTGCAAGTTAAAAAGGGCCTGTCTGTTTTTTTATAGGCGCTTCAAAGGATATCAAAGAATTTGAATGATAATCCAGCTTTTTTGACCGTTTTGAAGAGGTTTTATCATTGGAGCAAACTTGCAAGTCGAAAAATAGCCTCCTATTTTTATTTTCTTCTAACGACGCTTCAAAGAGACTGAAAAGCCTTACCAATCCTCTGAAATTGAATAAAAACCTCCAAAAACCCTTTCCAATGTCCGCATTTTACAAAATCCCTAAAACATCCAATATTCCTTCCAAAAAATTGTTCCAACTCCTCTGAAATCACAGCCAATTTTCCTTCGAAACAACAAAAACTATCGCCAATTTCCATCGGTTCTAATCTCAAAGACGTATCTTTGCCCAAAAATAGCCAAATTTTCCCAAAACCCGAGATAATCATCTCGTTGTAACAGTCTCTCTGTTATTTTTTCTTCTCTTCACCAAAAAAAGTCCATTTTCAGAGTCAAAAAAATGAATATTTGTTAGAAGAACGGGTTCCGAAACTTATAGAAAAAAATACTGAATATTATTCAAAATTCAAACTGGAATTTTTTTGAAATCTAGTTGATTTTTTTAAATTAAAAAAACTTGAAGAATTGCTCCAAAAAAATTTTAACAACTCCAATTAGCCTTGGAGCACATTATCTTCTTAAAAATAGCTTTCACCCAAATTTTTCAAATTCAAGAGCCTTGAAAAATAGAAAAACCTCAGGAATCGACTCGAAAAACATTTTAAAAAATCCTTCAAAAATATTAAAAACCAGGAAAAGCTGATATTAGCCTTGGAGCACATCATCTTTTCAAAAATAGCTTTTCCCCTTTTTAAGTTTCAAGTGTTCCGGTTCAAAATAAGGCCCCTTCCATAAAAAAAAAATCATGAAATCTTAAAAATCGACTTTATTTTAAACTTCAAAAACCTCAAAAAAACCCGAAATGAGCTCAAATTAGCCTTGGAGCACATTATCTTCTTAAAAATAGCTTTCACCCAAATTTTTCAAATTCAAGAGCCTTGAAAAATAGAAAAACCTCAGGAATCGACTCGAAAAACATTTTAAAAAATTCTTCAAAAATATTAAAAACCTGGAAAAGCTCAAATTAGCCTTGGAGCACATTATCCTATCAAAAATAGCTATCACCTTTTTTAAAAATTCAACTGTTCTAATCCAAAAAAGGTCCCCCTTGCCACCAAAAGAAAAATAATAAAATCTCAGGAGGGGAGAAAATAAAGTCGCCTCGCCTAAAGCGTCGAAAAAAAAAGTCTTTTCAAAGCCGCTCGAGCTTAAATTTCATCGCCGTTTTTGCCAAAAAAGACGTTTTCGAGACCCTTTTTTTTCTGGCTCCTTTTATGGATGGCGATTCAATTTTGGACCTTGTTCGGAAAAATATTTTTCGTGGTATGAAAGGTATTTTTTTTTGGGGGGACTTTTTGGAATAGGAACAAAGTTTTTTTTGGCTAAAAAATTGATAGGAAATGTCCAAAATTTAAGAAAAAAATCGAATATTTTTTTCGAATTTTGGTCATTTTAAACGAATAAATGGCTTTCAAAAAAATGAATTTTTCATCTTTTTTTCTTAGAATTTCAAGCTTCTCAAGTCTCAGAAGCCGTTTTTTTATACTTCATAAATGATTATTATAGAAATTTCTAACGCTTTAACCTATCAAAAAAACCTATTTTTTTGAGATCTGAAAGTTTCCAAAAAGTCAGTTTCCACATTAAAAAAATCTTTGATTAAAAAAATTAATTTTTTTCAAAAAAATCGAAAAAAAGCCGGACTGAGACGCTTAAGAAGCTCAGTATCTTCATTAAAAATCTATGAAACCAACAAATTTTATCATAAATTCTTTTTAAAAAAATCGAAAAAAATCCAACTCCAGGAAGCCTACTTCTTCATTAAAAGGTGATATTTAAAAAAATATAATAATTTTTTTCAGAAAAAAATCAAAAAAACTGCCGCTTCCGAGGGCCAATTCCTTCATTAAAAACCCACAAATTTAACACCTATTTTTTTCTTAATTTCTATAAAAAAATCGAAAAAAACCGAACTGAGGCCAGCGACGGCGATGATTGGACGAAGAACGAAGATCCGACGGAGCATTCCAAAAAAACAAAAAAATCCAATAAAAAAACGGAAAAACGATTTTTTTGCATAAATTCCCACGGTCACGAGTCTCCATCGTGATTCATCAATTTTTTTCAAAAAGTTCAACATTTTTCCTAAATAAATAGAGTTTCTTAGGGAACGAGTAGGAGAATTTTGATGCGGAAAATTATTTTTTTCTCTCGATTTTGGTAATTTCAATGCGAAAACTAGAAAAACTAGAGAAAATTTATGATTTAAACACTTTTTTTAAGGAAGTTTTGAAAATCACTGTTATCGATCGTAAACGTGTTGAAACTCGAAAAAAGATAAATTCAAAAAAAAAACCGGTTTGAAATCGGGATCTCATCGAAATGGAACACCGACTTTGGGAATCTCGAAAGTGCGAACAGATGCTTGCATCTGCGCAGAAAAGTCGCATCTGTAACGCATCTGTGCAACAGATTTGTTCTACCGAACTTTCCCGCACCTCGTACTTTTTTTGGACCAAAAAAGGTCACCAGTTGGAAATTTATCAATGGAGCGCACTTCAATGATAATAAATAGCCAACAAACTTCCAAATCTGTTATAAAATAGTATTTTTTTGTGCTCTTTCGGAACTCTGGCATTCAAATATGATACAAGAAGGCAAATTTTTAAGGAAAAGTCCTTAAAAGTAAAAAAAATTAACATAATATGCTCCAAGGAGACACCCAAAGCTCAAAATTATCAATGGAGCGCTCTTTAGAAGCCAAAAAAAGCCTCAAACGTCCCAAAATTCCTCAACTTTTGCAATTTATCCATGGAGCACACTTCACGCTTCAAAAATAACCTCTGTCGTCCCAAAGTAGAAAAAAAAAGTTTTTCTTCATAGAGTCCTTTCTCTTTCTCTTTTCCTTTCCCTTCAAGTCAAAAAAGCCATAAATTAGCCGTGAAGCGCACTTACAAAGCCGAAAACAGCGTCTACAATTATCTTGTCAAGATCCATTTCTTCAAAAAAAATAAGACATAAATTTCGGGAGCCGGGCTAGATTATAGCTTTTAGAAAATGACTCAGTTGGATTTTATGTGATTGGAAAATTTTTCAAACTATTCTAGACCTCGAAAACTGATATTTAGCCGTAGAGCATAAAATCCACTTTGCAAATAGCCGCCTTTCATTTACAGAGCTCAGTGTCAGAATCCTGGCAAGGGAATCTTCGGATAAATTTTTAAAAATGGCTAGAAAGTTCTTAAAATCTTTCTTAACCATTCCAGATCACTGAAACCGATATTTAGCCATAGAGCACAACTTCCACTTTGAAAAAAGCCGCCCTTCACTAACAGAGCTCAGTGTCAGAAGCCTGGGAAGGGAAAAGCTTTTTAAAAAGCCTAAAAAGCTCATAAAATCATTTCCAACCGGCCTAGACTTCAAAACCTCTGATTAGCCGTAGAGCGAACAATACCCTTTCAAAATAGCCTCCAGCCCTCACAGCGGTTTAGTGTAAAAGACTTGGGCACAGAAAGCTCATAAAACCGTTCTAAACCAGTACAGACCTCAAAAACTAATGATTAGCCATAGAGCACAACTTCCACTCCGTAAAAAGCCGCCCTTCACTTACAGAGCTCCGTGTCGGAGGCCTGGGAGGGGATTTCGACGCGGACGACGTCGCCGTCGCCATCCTCCATGTCGTGGTCGCGGGTCAGGGTCTGCTCCGACGACGTCTCGGTCACTGACATGGCACTTCAGAAGGCAAAATTATCAAGGAATGACGAGAATAATCGAGTAAGAGCGAATGGAAATGAACAGAAAAGAGCTCTATCAGTCCAATAAGAGGGGAAAAATTACGAAAAAAAGGGAGGGTTATACGTTTCGACCTCAGGGGGGTATAATAAAGTCTTTAGTTTTGAAAATTCTAGGCTCTTCAGTGAGAAAGAAGCTCGAATTAAAGTTGAAGAGCAGAAAAATGAGCTAGGAAAAGCTTTTAAAAAAATCGAAAAAAGAGCCGCCTTAAAATAAGCCTTGTGCGCTCTAAGGATAGTAACCGTTCTTCAGTCGTTTCTCGAATTGTCAATGGAGCGCAAAAGATCCAAGGCAGTTCGGCTATTTTTTTTTCTCGTTTTCGCAAAAAATGCAATCAAAAACACTATCAGTCCATCAAAAACCCTACAGGAAAAGTCCAAAAACGACAAAAAAAAAACCATCTAAAAGTTACGAAATCCCTATAAAACCCCCTAAATCCAACAAAAAACATGCGATTCGAGTTGTTTTTCCGAGAACGAAACCCAAATTCAAACGAGAAAAAAGGCCCTGAGGGACCGCATGAAAAACCTGAACAGATGGAAAATATTTGGAATCGTAAAAGGCTGGTTTCTCGGATGAGAGCTTCTCTTGGACAACTATTTGGGTATGGAGGAAGAAGAAATGAGGAAAAAAAGAGTTTAGAGGGGGGAAAAAAAAAAATGCAATAACCAGTCAGTTTCCTAGATAAAAAGCTTCAAAAAAACTCGAATCGGAATCAAAATTTTCGAATTTTTGGTTTTAGAAGGCTTCTTGGGTCTGAAACTCAAGCTTGAAACTTTGAAAGTGGTCAGAAAAACTTATAAACCAATATTTACTATGAAAAACTTCTACAAATGCAGGAAAAAAAGTCTTTGAGATTGAAAAAAATAACCAAAAAAATCAGCGTTTTTCTCCAAAAAAATACTAACAGCTACAAGTGAAAAAAATTCTAAAGCTCAGAAAAATATAAAAAAATCAGCGATTTCTCAGCAAAAAAACCAACATTTCCTCAGCAAAATGCAATTATCCTTCAAAATTTTTCAACAAATTATAAATGAAAAAAAAATTTTTTTCAAAAAGTCCAAAATAATCAAAAAAATCAACAATTACTTCACATTTTCTACAAATTACAAGTGAAAAAAAGCTTTAAAAAAAACAGGAAAAAAAGCCTGAAAAATCAACATTTTGTCAGCAAAATGCATTCGTTCCTTCATAAATACTAAGAACTATAATAGAAAAAAAGCTTCAAAAAGCTCAGAAAAAAATCAAAAAAATCAGCATTTTTCTACAAAAAAATTTCGACAAATTACAAGAGAAACAGAAAAATATAAAAAAATAAAAAAATTTTTCTTGACAAAAATCAGCGTTTTTCTTCAGAAATACTAACAGCTTCAAGTGAAAAATCTAAAGCTCAGAAAAAAATCAATAAATCAACATTTTTCTTGGCAAAAAAACTAACATTTCCTTCAAAAAAATTACTACAAATTACAAGAGAAAAAGTCTTTAAACTACAGAAAATCGCCTTAAATCAGCATTTCCTTTAAAAAAATACTACAAACCACAAATGAAAAAGGTTAAAGCTTCTGAAAAATAGACTAAAAATGAAGTTTCTCTCAGCGAAAATCAACAATTCCTTCAAAAATACTACAAACCACAAATGAAAAATCTCCTGAAACTCCAAAAAACCCCCCGCCCCAAAAAAAGCCAATCATCAAGGTGTCGTCGAGAGGAGCGGGGCCGATAATCAAGGCGAATGGCCGGGTGATAAAAGAGCCAAAAAGTGAAGAAATAGTGTGTCGATGGAGCACAAATGAGCCAGGAGGCAAAAACAACCGAACGGGTGGAAAAAAAGAAAAAGAAACAAGGAAAGAGGAGAAGGAATCTCAAAGGTCACAACTGCTCCCGCCGATCAATCGCGCCATTGTGTTTATATAAACGCGACGGATCCGGCTGGAAAAATATACGGAATGGATCCTGAGAGTGGTCCCTGGAGGGGAGTACGAAGAGCACTTGAAGGCTCCCTTCCAGGGAACATTAGGCTTGCAAAAGTTGTCGCTTAAGGGGTTTCAGTTAGTGGCGACTTTAGGGGAGCAAAAATCTCAACAGAAAGTTTAAATATATTTACAGGGCAATCCTAGAGGGCTCTTGGAGGTTCCCCTCGAACCACTGAAGCTCGCAAAAGTGGTCCCTTTAGGGGTTTCAGTAAGTAACGCCTTCAGGAAAGCAAAATCCTTAACAAAAACCTTGAAAAACCCTTTAGGGATCCCTTAAGCTTCAGAGGGCCTGAAAGTCAGCTTCTCAACTCTTTCAACCCCTCCAGGGATAACCTCAACTTAACCCCTATAGGGAGCACTATTTTTTCCCCTTCTCAAACCCCTCTAGGGACCACTCTGGCTTTCTTAGGTAAATCTTCATTTTGAGATTTTTCAGGGACTTTTTCTTCCTATTTTCACCTCGAAATTTACCTACGGATCCGGCTGGAATCTCGTATACACAAAAAAATACGGCATGGATCGTGAAGGTGGTCCCTGGAGGGGCAATATTAAGAGCGCCCCCAGAGAAAATCACAGCTTGCAAAAGTGGTCACTTTAGGGGGTTTTAGTAAGTAAAGCCTTTAGGGGAGCAAAAATCTCAACAGAAAGTTCAAATATCCTTACAGGGCAATCCTAGCAGGCTCTTGGAGATTCCCCTCGAACCACTGAAGCTCGCAAAAGTGGTCCCTTTAGGGGCTTCGGTTAGTGACTTTAAAGGGAGCAAAATTTCAACAGAAAACTTGAAGGCCCCTGTAGGGACCTCTTAAGCTTCAGAGGCCTTAAAGCTGGGACCTCTACCCCTATAGGGAGCCCTATTATGTCTCTTAGAAAGGCTTTTTCCTTTTTCCCGTAACTCCTTAAGGGATATTTGAATTTTACCCCTATAGGGAACCCTATTTTGCCCCCCATAGGGGCTTTTTTTTGCCTTGAACCCAGTATGGACCACTCTCGCGTTCCGAAAACTCAATTTCAAGCTTTTCCAAGATCTATTCTTCATCGATTTTAACCTCAAAATTTACCTAGAATACTGAAAAAGTTATCTAATTAGTATAAAAATGACAAAAATTGAAAAAATTGACCTAGAAAACTAAAAAAATGCCTAAAATTGGGAAAAATTCGTAGGAAAATCAGAAAAATACACCTGAAATGCTGAAAAAAACGCCCTGGAAAAAAAATCACAATGAACATAAATTTGATACTCCACATTGGAATATTTTCGAAAAGCTTTGAATAATTATGAGAAAACGATGAAACGGGAGAGTAATCTAAATGTAAAAAAATTGAAAAATCCAAGAAATTTTTTTGAAAAAAATCTCGAAATCCCACTCAAAAAAATCATCAAAAAAACGCAGATTTTTCTCAATTTTACACTTTTTTTCTTTACTTCAGGGCTATAAAATCTGTCACTGAGAGATGCTTTCAATCAAGTTTATGGGAAATAAAAGGAAGACGAGGATTTTTGAGATCTCAATGAGAAATCGACTGGGAAAGCAACATTTTGAGACAGAATTGAGCTTAAAAACACATTTTTTCTAAAAAATCACAAGGGGAAAATCGGTGAAAATTGAAAAATTGTCAAAAAGAGTCTATCCAGACCGGAAAAAACAGACAGAAAACAAGATAAAAGCTCAAAATTGACACGTGCCAACGATCTTTAGAAAACAACGTTTTTAATGGATTTCCCACGCATTTTTCAAAGATCCCAGGTCGAAAAATGAGGATTTTGAGTGAAAATCGCAAAAATATGACTAGGATTCATTTTTAGTTGAATCATAAAAAGCTCAAAAACTCCGGTTTCGGGATAAAACTTTGAAAAAAAAATAATATTTTTCAAAGAAATTTTTTTATTTTTTTCAGTAGAAAATCCAATAAAAAAATGCTGTCCATTTGAAAAATTCAAATCCAGAGCTTGAATTATCTGTTATGAGACTTAAAAATCATCTGAAAAAAGCAAAAAACGCCAAAAATTCACAATTAATTCACGCAGAAGCTCAACAACAATTTCTAAAATATCCAAATCAAGTTAAAAAAATGAGTTAGAAGTTGGAAAAATTAATTCAAAGATACGGAGAAGCTCAAGAAGACATTTCAAGGGGGTCGGAAGAAACAATAAAAATCGAAAATAGAACCAGAAGCTTGAAAATCCATTTTTCGAAGCCAAAAAAGCTTGGAAATCAATTTTTACGTCTAAAAAAGCTCGAAAATAAAACTGAGGATGAGAAATAGCTTAAAAAAATTGATTTTTTTAAGAGGGTGGGATAAAAAAACTTCGAAAATTGACATTTTATTGAATCAGAAGCTTAAAAAAATCAATTTAAGAAGATCCAAGGCTTGAAAAAAACAATTTTAAAAATGGATAAAAGCTCAAAATTTCAATTTTTTAAGAGGGGCGAAAGGAAAAACTCAAAAAAATCGACATATAATTGAACCAGAAGCTTAAAAATCCATTTTAGAAGGTCCAAGGCTTGAAAAAAATAATTTTTAAAAAAATGAGCTTATATAAAAAAATTGAATAAAAAAACAAGAAAAAAAGCTCAGATTTTTTTAATAAGGCTGAAAGGAAAAACTTCAAAAAAATCGGCAATAAAAAAACCAGAGGTTCAAAAATTGAACTCACAAGGCCAAGGGCTTGAAAAAAATTGATTAAAAAAAGGCAAACATTTACAAAACTCCAAAAATCAACATTAATCCAACAAGAATCTCAAAAAAATCAACTTTAAAGCCTCAAAAACCTCAAAAACCCCCAAACCTGGACCTTTTTCCAAGTGCCAAAAACTCTGGTTGAGGAGAAAAGCTCCCAAAAAAAGAAGAAGAAGAAGAAAAATCTTGGGCGAATGAAAAGAAAAGGGCGGGCAAAAATGCGAAATGAGGTACGCGGCAGAAGAAGAAGAAGAAGAAGGAGGAGGGGAAGAAGTTTCCTGTGC